TAAAGACCATCTCATCAAGAACTCCAACAACTTTCCCCCACTGCCTCCTTTGCATAACACCAAAGGTCTATCTTTGTGTTCTAACCACAGCCCACATTTCATCTATGAAAAGTGAATACTCTTCTAACTTGTATCAGCCTCTTCATGTTTATGCACACATCTAGGATTCCTTTCCACTTTGTACTATTGAGTAAGGAAAGAAGGCTATACATATTCAGTAGAAGCCGTACTTCGAGTATCCATGCAACCATCTGGATTTTTACTTTCAGTAAGTATAGTATTCTATACTTACATGAGATATTCAACACTTTTGTTATAAAATGGGCTTTCTGTTAGATGATTTTGCCCAATTGTAAGCTAATTTAAGTGTTCTGACCATGTTTAGGCTAGGCTAAGGTATGCCATTCAGTAGGTTAGGTGTACTAAAAGCATTTTTGGCTTATGATATTTTCTAATTACCATGGGTTTATTGGGATATAACCTCCATGGTAAGTTGAAGAGCGTCTGTACCTGGTGAAGCATTGTATTGGCTGATCTGGAAGCCACACATATCACTTCTCACATCCCATTGGAGAGCAGTCAGTCACATGGTTGTACCTGATTACAAGAGGGACTGGGAAATGTATTGTTGCTGGGCATCTACTTTATGACGGTGGAAGAAGTGTAGCATGGGTTTGGGTGGACAACTGGTAAACTCTTCATAGGCATCCTTTATGATACCAGTAGTTCTTTTTTAATATGGATGAGCTTATAAAATTTTAAGCATTAAAACATAAAATGTACAAAAGGGTACAAAAAGGAATTCAAATATGCCATTAATCCTTTCTTAACGAGACTATCAAATATTCTCCTTCTCTTAGAGCTCAAGGTTAGAATAATGAACCTGTTTTGACTAACAGCGTTCCTGTAGCCTTCAGATTGAGCTGTTTGTATATTGAGAGAGGCATTTGTGTGTGTGTCCTCTATTAAAGCTTTGTCAGCATTTTACAGTTTTAGAAGATGAATTTGTTTTTGTTCCAAGTGTTTTTAAGTGCTTCAGTCAGTGGTCAAACAGGTTTTGAGCCTAGCTTTCAACACCAACACAGAGAGGGAGAAAGAAAAATAATCGAAAATAAATTCCACAGTCTAAAATGAACTTTTATCAAGACTTTTGCTCTTTTAGACTTGAGGTTATCTTTATAATTAAGGAGAATGGTTTTTAAAATTTAGTTCCTCTGACACCCCAAAATTATCAAAATAAATTATGCCACAGTGATTCTGTGTTTTGAAAGTCATTGATAGGACTTATATGAGTCAGAATTTTATGGATTATAAACTAGGCTTTATCTGGTTGAAAAAAATCGCAACACAAGAAGCAACTTTATTAAATTAGACCTAAAGTCACAATCTGTTCTTTCCTGCTTTTTAAAAATTACCTATTACCTTTAAAAGATCCCAAATTTAGAAGAGGAATTAAAATAAAAGTTAATATAATAAAACACTTCCACAATATTCTATTACTTCAACATCTAATCAATAAAAACATTAATGGACTACTCTTTTACCACACCTGGTAGAGATATGTTTGGGACATAAAACAGTTTAAAACCTTCAAAAGACAATGACTCAATATTTTCTTGTAAGACAAGTACTATTAGCACCTGGAGCACATCTGAAGGTCTACTTCTCAAAAGCATTCTGCATTTCAGCATTATTTTGACCTGTACATTACACTTTTCCCTTCCCTCATCTTAGTGAAGTAGAGAGATTACTGATCTATTTCTTTATCTTAATCATTCCTCCCTAACCCCAAAACAAAGAATACAAATTAGAATCTACAAAATGTATTGTGCCCATGGAAATACATAGTTTTGTTACTGTACTCATAGATGTTTACTACCCTTGTTAGTTTGATTCTGGAAAAAAAAAAAAAAAAATGCTTTCGCAGTTGTAACATTCTTCAGATTTTCCATTTCCAAAAGGTATAGGTGCATCCCAGCTACCTTAGAAAAGGAACACTGTGTACCTGCATGCTGTTTTAGTGAAACCAGACAATGAATATTCAGCAGGCTCAAATGTGTACAGAAATAACATGACAATTAGAATTACTAAAAAGCCTTAGAGAAGAATATTGAACAATATTGGAAATCAGCCTTTGTGAATTACATCTACAAAACCTCAAGTCGTTGGAGAGTTCTTAAACTTATGGATAAAACATGTAAAAAGTGGTAGGGATGGAGTTGAAGAAGTTAATACTTGTTTTAACCTGGAGGTCAGCTAAGCTTTGTCACATCTCACAACTGCTTTTTGCAAAGCTGTCTATTGTGTGACCTAATTGACTTTATTCTGTAGTTCCTAACGCCTGTTTCAGTTATATTTTGGTTCCTCTGTTTAGGAAAAAAAAAAAAAAAAGCCATCTTCTAACCTTCTAACATCTTCTAACTGAAATATCTCTAAATTTATATAATGCTATTATGTTTTATTTTCTGTTCACTCTTATTCTTTCGGAATATTTCTTTTTTATTTTATTTTTTTCTTTTAAGCTATCTCCTACAGGACGGATCTGAATATTTCTTAGCCTTGATCTGAAAATGATTAGTTCTTTGGAAATAGTCATTTACATGTAATTATGAATGTATCATTTCATTGGTGCTGCTGTGAAATGAACTGAAGATAGAGGATTGTGCTTTCCTTTGGAATTCATGTTTCAGAGCTTTAGGAAAACCTAATACTATTGCACTAGATCTTACACTAAAGATTCTGATAATCTATTGAAGATTACCAATGGGAACAAAGATTCTTTGTCATAGATACATCCCTCTTCATCAGGAAAGTCACATTCAGGTAATAAGAGCAATTATTCTTGATTTAATGGGAGCCATTTTATAAAGGCCTCTTCTAACTCAAACTTTAGAGGTATGAATAAAATTGAATGTTGTAATTTTTAATTTCTCGGATCCATTCTAAAATTATCTAAGTGTGTAAATTGATGCTCAGTATTCTGTATTCTAATGGCAGACACAAACACTGTATTTCCTGTTCTTCGGACAGTGTCTTGACTGTGAACAAATAACAGTAAAATATTTTCCTTGGAGACATTATAACAAACATCTTGGAGATATTATAACAAATAACAATAAAATGTTTTTCTTGGTTCAGAAACAATAACATCAACAATTCATTAATTATATTATTAACAGTATTCATTAAACGTACCAGGCATTATTCTATTTTTTTTTTTTTTTTTTTGAGATGGAGTCTCTCAGTGTTGCTAGTCTGGAGTGCAGTGGCACAATCTCGGCTCACTGCAACCTCCGCCTCCCAGGTTCAAGCAGTTCTCCTGCCTCAGCCTCCCAAGTAGCTGGGACTGCAGGCACGTGCCACCACACCCAGCAAATTTTTGTATTTTTAGTAGAGATGGGGTTTCACTATGTTGGTCAGGATGGTCTCGATCTCTTGACCTCGTGATCTGCCCGCCTCAGCCTCCCAAAGTGCTGGGATTACAGGTGTGAGTCACCGCGCCAATCATTATTCTAGTACTTTATGTATCACTTTATTTAATCCTCATGACCACCCTATGTTAACTATTGTTGCCATCTTCATTTTCCAGATGAGGAAATTAAGGCTGAAGTAGGGTCATACAATTGGCAAATGGTGGAACTGGAATTCTAACCCAAGTATTCTGATTCAGAGTCACCGTCATAACTATTATGTTATGATATCTCTCTTTGTTTCTATTCTTTAATGGAGCCCAGGGTGTCAAACTGAAAATTCCAGGCAGAATGGCCAAACCAACATAAATGGAAAATAATTCAGCTACCTACCAAGCCAAAGATTAGTTTTCTATTCTAATTATGTGTTTATTTTGTGGAGATCGTTGTAAATGCCAACTTCATGGGATTATTGTGAACCTTAATTAGACTTACTTAGTAAAGGGTTTTATTATAATGGAATGTTATTGATATGTAGATGAACATATGTTACTTTCATATATGTATAATTTACTTTGATGACACAGGATGAGTGGATTATGCTTAATATCCTTTTAATGCAGATATAAATCTGAGTTAACAAAATTCAGGTCCAAATTTCCAAGGCAGCTTTGTTTTTGAGTTTGCTGAATTCAGATATTCTCTTGTTTGCTTATGTGTAATCTCCCTTCAAGGAAATGGCTTACTTATTCTGTTCCAGTCACCTGAATGATATTTAGAAAGCATTGGCCATATTCACAGAGGCAGTCAAAAAAATCTTACATATATGCCTCCTGGTAAGCAGTAACCCTACCTGGTCAGCTGAAAATGCATACTATTCAAATTAGGTTTTCTGTCTTTTTCCATCTTGGCTAATATAAAGATTAACATTAAATATTGTAGAAAGGTTCTTAAATTTTCATTTCTGTTTATAGATATTTTATAGCTTATGTATAAGCCACATGTTACTCTAGATAATATTAGCAGTATACACTAAGTATGTATGTGTGTGTGCATATATGTATGTATGTATGTATATATACATATATGTGTATACTCCACCTTCAATTTTATCAATATACACTGAATATATATAAATGTGTGTATGCATATGTATATATACATTCTTAAACATATATATATGGAGAGAGAGAGAGAAAATGTTACATCAGTTTCTGATGAGATTCGAGGTCAGATTCCTCAATTCTAAGTCTGACCCACCCTGATTCTGTAACAATCTGGGTTTTGCTATTTAGCTGTCCAAAGTGGATAATACCTAAGAGAGACATTATAGGGCACAATGGCCATTTCTGTGATGCTGTCACATATCTTTGTTAAAAGGATGATAAAGTTCAATAGACAATTCTATGAAAGTAGGATATAATAAACTGTCATAATTTTACTAGTTTAAACAAAGATAAAAATATGAGGACTAGAATTAGTTTATATATACATATTATGTGATTTTTCTATTTTAAAGAAAGGATATTTTGCATATATTGCATATTTCTTACCATTCCTGTTGGACAACCAATAATGGTTCTGTTACAGAATATGGAAAGTCTAAATTCCACTCGATCTCATGAGAGAACCGGACCTGATGGTTTTGAACGGATGTCCGATGAAAGGTAATTTTAGAATTATCTCCTAATATTCTTTCCAAGGGCAGGAAAAGGTTATTTTCATGTAATGCAATGTGAATTATAAGAACTAAAAAGAATGGATTTAAAGGACTATATATTTACCAGCAATATTTTATAGCAAGGAAAATGCTTAGAATAGAAAATCTATCACAGTGCTATTGAAGGCAAATAACTATAGTCATGTTTATTTGTGTTTCCAGTTTGCTTTGTTTTGATTAATTTTTCGTTTTGTGTTTTGTTTTTGAATTTTGTAAGTATTAGGCTTAGAGCTACTCAACAAACTCTTAAAATAAAATTATAATATCAATGGATGAAAAACATTGTTATAAAACAAGTAGATATTTTATGATTTTGTTGTTGTTGCTGTTATTTATAGGAAAGGAGGTGAAAAAGATGGTGGACACACTCAGCATTTCGAGGTGAGTAACTAACAAGCAAGAGTAAGACTGTGATGGGGCTGTTCATACACTCTTCAATGTCCCTCTGAAATATTAGTCTGTCAGTAAGGGACAATGAGCTAAGTAATATGACTGTGATTGATTAGAAAGGCAAATACCAAACTTAAAGATTCCTTGAGAAATCATAAGAACTCCATTATTTTCCTTTGTGAATTATTTTGTTTTGCTTATGATGATAAACTTTAATAGCACAAGAATTTCTCTTTAGATTTTCTATAAAGTAAAACAAAACAAAAAGTCAAAGCTACTGGTTTTATTTTCCACAATTTGATGCATTTTTTAAGTGATTGAAATATGTAGGTAGTGAGTCTTAGTCACAAGGATTAGGTCATGAATCTTCAAATTAACATAAATTCACTTTGAGTTACTTAATCCAATTTGTTTGTTGAGTTTTGTCTCTCATTTTAAATAGACATTGGAGAAAAAAGTCTCTCACCTCCCTTATGTCATCTGTATCTTCAAGTTTTATTTACTTCCCTGGCCTCCCACTTGTCCTCCAGGCATCACCATGCTGACCCAAGTATTTGGTTTCCCTTTCTCCCAACTCCAGCTCCCATTCAGTGTGCCGAGCATCATTTTTATTTCATGTATGTGTATGCAATCTACTACCTCCAGATACTTCCAACTCCACCTTCAATCTTATCAGTTTTGCTTTTCAAGAAGTAAAGTTTTTCTTAACCCACTCTTAAATTCTGACTGTTGATATAAAGAGAACATTCCCTCTAACGCAATAATTCTTAATCTCTGTTGGGCACTGACCGAATTCACTGATGGATTTAATCAACAACATATATTAAATCCTACTAGGTACAGGTACTGTGCTAGGAGCTGTGATTTAATGACAGCCACAGTCTATTCCTCCATGGAGTTTTACAGCTTAAAAATCAGAAAGCTACAGACCCTCTTAGAAAATTGTATTATCATTAAAAAATGTGCATGACACCAATATGGCACAAGTATACATATGTAACAAACCTGCACGTTATGCACATGTACCCTAGAACTTAAAGTATAGTAATAATTTTTTAAAAGTGCATAAAAATCCTAGAAATTAATCCCCACTCCCTGAACACACGCTAATGCTCATATCTACTGTATTCAACTCTTGTCATATATATACTTCTTCACTAGATAATTTAGCCAGATAATAGGAGGGGAATGCTTCCTCTTTCTGACCCCACAGCTTCTGAGCCACTTTTTTCATCTATTTCCAACTCATTTATGCTTCCTTCCTTGGGACCCAGGCAACAAGCTGACATTCTTTTCTTATCTCTAGGCATCTTTTTAAAGATCATGTTTCCCCCATGTTAGTGTCATGTTGTGTTTTGTTTTTTATGGTTTTATCCTTTCACTGCCATCTTTCTCCACTCACAGCAAGCACCTACTCATCTCCCATCTAACATGATTTTAAAGAAAATTGCTTTGCCAGTCTCCTGGAGAGGTCTTCTCAGTTCTTTCCTTTTGTGCCTGTTATCTTTTATGAGATAAAAGGGAATAAAAGTAACTTTTGTGGATGGACTTCATAGCATTAACTCATAAATTCCAAGTAGCACACAAACTAAATGGCAAACTAAACTGAACTCAGTCTGCCTTGGTCTTTGGTGGACAGCTCCCAGGACAGTGGATGAATCATGGGGAAACAATCTCACATCCTTCTTCCATGTGCCAAGTCCTCTTCTTATGTGTGTTATCCATGTGCAGCCACCAATCAGTGCCCAGTGCCACTGCTGGCACTGCTTAGGCATTCACTAATAATAATCATTGTCATCATGATGGTTTTGGTTAGGAGATAAAATTAGGTGGTGAACTAAAATCTAGACTAAGCTCTCCATGTCACCTTTCTATCACAGCTGCACCAAAGGAGAAAAATAAGACATCACTACACAAGATTGGGATGATTTCTACTTGTGAAAGCATGTGCTTCTTTCACTGAAGGAAATTTATTGTGTTATTAGCCATGAAAGACAGTGAAAAGAACTGTTTTCCATTTTGTAGGGGTTTTTTCTTTGTTTCAGTGTGCTGTTATTTACTACTTTTTAATATATGTAGTACTTCCTAAAACTTACACCACCCAATATTTAATCTGGTTTTCTAGTAAAAACATCAATAACCTTTCATTTTCAGTGATGAAAAATAAGTCTATACTTTGGTTACTCCTCCTAGAGTTCTGTTTAACCAGTATTTATTTTGTTTCAGGTCTCATTGCATAAGATTGGGATGTCGGATTTTACATGTCCACTATTGAATATATATTGTAATATTTCTAATTTTGTTTTCCATTAAGATAGACTTCGTCCTTATTAGTATTGTGATTTAAAATTCTCCTTGTAAAATCTCAGATTCATATAAGATAACATAGCAAATGACAGCTCTTGCGGAAAGGTGATTTTTTGGGGGGGACTACTGTTTCCATTAGAATGAGGAACACTTGTTGTCAGCCTCAGAAATGCTCTTTAGAGACAGGCAGAGAGAGGCCTCTCTTAGATCTGCGGCTCGAAGGCAAATGAAGTTACAACTGTGACCCCAGTTCTTAAATAATCAGTTTGCAGCCTTAAATGTGTTTTGTTTGAAGGTATATGTTGAAAGTGAACATGGACTTATCCCTTTATTTCATATCTTTTTAATTTATTTTAATTATGCAACTAATCTCAGAAGTTCTGAGATCTCAGATGGGCATTGATCAATAATAGTTACCCATTTCTATTTCATAAGAGTTCCTTATGTGGTTTGGATTAAAATTTGTTTAGTGACACACTGCCAATGAGAAAAAAAGTCAGGAGTCACTTTGAAATGTCCAAAATTAAAGTACAATTTCTTCAGGTAGGTTCAGAAAGGCTGATATTTTAATAAAATATCTTATCTGGGCAATATGAAATGAGGTAACATGAGGAAGAGCCTAGCACACTGCTCCCTGGGCATGCAAAATCTACAGTCTTTGTTCTTCTGTGTATTTTTAAACTCTTTTAACAAACTACAAGTATCCAGAAGATAGGTAATCCTTAAAACTAGCATTTTCTAGATTCTAAAAGATATCCCTGAAATTACCGATTTTCAGAGTTCTGTTTCCAAGGGAGTTTATACTTTATGCTTCAATTTAATCCCTGTTTTCTATGATGAAAATATTTTATTCTTCTCTATAAAATCCAGAATATTAAAACTAAAACCTTACAATGAATCTCTGTTGAGAAGTCAAAACAAGTAAGAATTATTAACTACATGTGAGGGAATTACATTATCTGGGAGAGATCATTTTATGTCAGAATTACAAGGTCAGTGAAGTGTTAAGTTCTTTCAAAATATTTTTACATTCTTTATGCTTTCTAAGCCTACTGCTTAAGAGAGCTTAGAAGCATACCTTTGATAACAAACAAGACATTCATAATTTTAAAAAAAAGACTAGTTCCATGTTTCTTATCCTGCTTCAAAACAAAAAGGAAAAGAAAAAGAGAGAAGGAGAGAAGACAAGGCTTTTCAATCAAGACTGAGAATTAATATTAGTTATCACAAGATCTTAAGTGCAGGCTCTTATTTGCCCTGAAAAAGTGAATTTCTGAAAAGTATTTATGAAATGGATGACTGTTATTTTGACTTCACTGTTTTCATGGAAGCTTTAGGACTTTGTTTTAATATTATAACCAGAAAAATTAACAAGCTCTATTTACTTCACATTCGCTTCCAAATCAATCCAATAGCCAAAGCCTAATGAAGCTTTGGAGTTCACATGGATTTTGAAAATTTATGTCCACTTTTCCTTTATTGTCAGGCCAAACAAAAAATGTGTGTGGTTCTGTGTAGTTCTTCTGTTAATACTGTCGTTTCTTCCTATGCAAACTGCATTATATGGCATATTTTCTGATATTGTCATTCCTGGCTCTGATAAACTATTAGGCCACTTAACTATATCCTGTGCAGGGCAATAGAAGGAATAAAACAAAAATTCGCCAACTATTTGAAGCCAGAGAAAGAACAGGATCAAATGAAGTCTGAGGATAGAAAAAGGTAGGTCCAGCTGGACAGGGATAAGTCTTGGCAAAGATTAGACTGATAGCTTCATAATTAATGGCTCCTTGACCTGAATGTGAAATGTTACCTGAGGCCCCAGGAGAGATGAGCTCTCTTTATATTTGCCTCCTAGCATCCTACGTTTCTTTTATAACACACATGATACTTGGCACTTGTATGTTCAGTGTCTCTCTCTTGCACTAAATCCCTTATCTTGCTTGCTACTAAATTCCAGTGCCAGGGACATAGCATGTGTTCAGTAAACACTTGCCAAATGTATGAATGAATGAATGGGAAAGGAAAGTAGGGTATAAATGGAAATAACATTGTTTATAGTTCCTATAGGCTGTTTTATACACACTTTTCATTTTAATCCTCACAAACCTTACAAAGTCTTGTTCCTGTATTTGAGGGAAAAAAAAAAAAAAAGCTAAAGTTCAAAGACGTTTACTCACTGAAAGTCTTGCAGCTAGTAGAGCTGGTGTCTAAACGTGAGTCTCTGCCTCTAAAACCCATCCTAATATGCCATACTGTGTTGTCTCACCTAAAAGTCAAACACTCGATTTGTTTCAATACACAAATATTTGGTGTGTTTTCATATAGTGCAGCATTTTTGACGATGTTTAGCATATGACATCACAGTACAAGGATCTTGGAGTTGAAAATTGTGAAATTAATTTACTTACTTTGTGATTTAACAGAAGATATTAGACATGTAAACAACAAAAGTGGAAACCAAAAATATTTTTATATTTGAGAATGCCTTTGACGTTTTAACCTTAATGATCTAGTAGGAGAAATAGATAATATTTGCAATACTATGTGAAGAGCCCTGTTAGAGAGGGTGGTGCACCTGGGCAAGATGCTTCACCCAGACTGCGCTAACATTTGAAGGCAGGGCGGTTTTTATGCTAGTGTTTACGGAGCCTGAAGAACTTCACCATGGGCCATAGGACATAGGACAGGCTCCCTGGCACCCACATGCACAAAAAACCATCAGCAGTCTGCAACCCCAGGCAAGACAACCCTGTCACATCATAGACCAGCAGGGCCAAAAGTTGGGACTTGGGCAAGTAAGAAAGCAACCTCAGGGATTGATGGGAGCACAGCAGGACAGGGCCAGTCTGTACGTGCGTTTCCACGTGCAGTTGGAGTGTGCTGTGCTTAGGGTGTCCAGGGCTATGCCAGCTGGTGTAGGTTTGTGTAGGAGGGATCTCTCCACTGCTGTACCACAAATCAGCCAGGAAGTATAGAAGCTCATGTAAGTTGACATAGGTCTATGATGTGAATTACCTAATGCCTCATTATATATGACACATCCTCACCCTCTGTATACAATGGCTCTGGCCATCCTTTCCTGGATTCCAGAAACAGTGACCTCTGTACTATTCCTGAAACACAGAAAAACTGACCGTGCCCCAGAGCCTTTGCACTTGGCTTCTTTCTTCCTGGAATGCTCTTTCCACAAATGACCCACTTTCTCACCTCCTGTCACTTTATCACAGAGACCATCCCTGACCACTCAATATAAAACAGAGGCCTCCACCACTACCACCAACATCCCTCTTACTTTATTTTTCTTTTATTTGTTATATTCCTTTATTTTTCTCCAGAACCCTAACAGTTTTTTGTTAACTGTCTTCTCTGTAAGACTCATTATGACAGAGATTTTGTGTGTCCACCATAGTTTCACCAGTGTGTGAAAAAACAGTCTAGCAAATAGTAGGTACTGAAAAATCATTTCTTTTGAATAAGTTTTGTCTTTGTATCTCTAAAGACATAATAGGCAGCCCTATTATGAAATAATATTTTTTGAATATATAAGTATATGATATTTAGCCTGGTATATAAGGCCTTTCACAGTCCAGCATCTACTTAGCTGACACCCCTGTTATCTGCCATTCCCCCTTCTTGTTCTAAACGCTGGTCACCCTGAAACTCTTCTCTTGCTGTAGCCAAGCATGCCACGCTCTCGTGCCTGCATCTGCACTCGGTATTCCTCCTTCCTTCTGTGTGATGTGTCGTCCTCCCTCACCCCTCCAGCCCACACCTATCTGCCCCCAAATCAAAATTTCTGTTGCTGATTCATGATGGATACGCTAGTGGCTCTTTTCACTAAAATGTTTTCATAATGCATTTAACATTGTCTTCCATCCTTTGTTGCAGTATGCCTCCCCTCAAATTGCAAATGTATTTGCCTTGTCTCCAATTCCTCTCTCTAGCAATTCTGAGGCGTGCCGGTGTTTTATTCATTTGTCTTCATATGGTGTCAGATAGTAGTAGAGAAAGAATGATGGCTTTCATTTGTGTCTCTCCTGCCCCAGACATCATGCTAGAGGCCCTTCATACCTTCTGACAGATCTTCGAAAGAACTTTGCAAAGTTGGTATCACTTATATCATTTTAAAGGTTAGGTAATGGAGGCTCAGAAAAGGGAAGCAACTCAGCCAGGGCACCAGGCTAGTAAATGTCAGAGCCACACTTCAAACCCAGGTCTGCCTGTAAGCAAAACCCTTGTCCTTTCCATGGCATGATGACATAAATGACTTGATGTATGTTCCTCGTGAAGGAAATACCATACTTGAAAAATGAAATCGTATTTCTAGTATTCTTTTTTTGATGCCTGTAAAGGTAATGAGCATTTTAAATCTTTTTGAGAAAATGCTTATTTGCTGTATGCATATTCTCACTCTCTTTTGCTTTCCCCCGCCTGCACCCCTGCTCCCCCACAACCCAGGCACACACACAATTGGTGACTGAGTGGCTTTGTAACTTAAAAAGCTGAGAACTAGATTTGGGCATTTAACCCTGGTCCACTTAGGCTTTAGCTTCAGGGAAAAATACTTTTTGTGACATAAATGCCTAATCTGGCTTTTTCCCCAGTAAACAAACTGCATTTTTAAAGTATCTTAAATCTCCAGATTTACTTGGCATTTCTATAAGACTTTAGTGGCTCATCAGGACCTGAATGATGGTATTTCATTTTATCCCAAATGTGAAGAAAATATGTCTCCATGCATCATTTCAGGGAAATATAATAGTAGAAAGCCCTGGCTATTCCCTGATGATTTCAAAGTGGGTTGGAGAGCTATTAAAAGTAGCTGCAAGTCTTAAGTAGTGCTTTAAGCATAGGAACGTTTCTCATACATTAATGAAATCACTTTTGATTTCCAGATGTTTTTAGTTTTTTCATTTAATTATAGTATATTTGCCAAAGTACATTTGTAGTTACTCCAAAAGAAGATCTTTTGTACCCATCTGTACTACTTAAGGAATACATCTGTGAACAAACTGTTTCATAAACACCTTTGTTTATAATTGTATGAGACAGGGAAGACTGACAGTGGTTGAATTTACGAATGACCCAGAGAACAAGGTTTAAAAAAATTAATTTCAGTGCAGTTTGTTTAAACATAAAATTATTGATGTGAATATCAGCCTTTTGGGGAGGATTTCTCCATTCCCTCAGATGTCCTAGCCTGGTGTAAGCAAGTATAGCCAAGTATTTAATATTCAGAGTAGATGAATAGTAGGAAAACAAGTGACAGTTGCGTATTTGTAAGACATGAATTATGCATCACTGACTTGCCAGCTCTTGACTTTTTACTTAAAAAAAAAAAAAAAAATTGCTCCCTATGTAATTTTGGCTCATTTCCAGAGTCCGTATTCTTTACTGCTAGCTGAGATGAGACACCAAACCCCGGTGCTGTTTGAATTTGCGCAAACAATGCTTTAATACCCAGAGCTCCTCCATAAATAGTCTGTTCTCCCAGTACTCAGCGAGAAAACAACCACAGGAAATCTGGGAATGTGCAGCTAGCCCCGCTTAATTGATCTAAGCAGCCAGGGCTGGCAGGGGAGCTTTCACGTACACAGCCCCTGCTCCTGGCTCGCAGGACTGTTTACCTAAGGGGCAAAGAAGTCCACCTGCGAAAGACACCATGTTGCTACTACAGCCTTAGCAACAGCAGTAGCCCGGTTTTCGTCGTTGTTGTTTACAGTCAGGAGAGCCATACTCCTTTAAGAAAACACCAAACTCCTTTCCCTCATTCCTGGCCCCAATCAGTAATCACCAAGACTGTCAGCTGCCTGCAGTTATCGGGAAGAGCAGCCTGGGGAAAGTTAAAGGAGCACAGATGGACAGTTGCTTTCTGCATGCAAGTGGCCAGCTAGGATCTGGGGGGCATCCAGCCATGATTTTTATTTCTGTGCTGGATGCATTAGCAGCTGTGGCTTGGAAGGTTTTATCCTGAAGGAGTGGAATTGCTGCAGACGTTTTTGGGTTTGGGCGAACAGTAGATATTTGGGGACATTGTGCTGTTATTGCAGAGCCCCACAATGAAGATCCAGGAGCATCCTAGCCTATCTGACACTAAACAGCAGAGGAATCAAGATGCCGGTGACCAGCAGGAGAGCTTTGTCTCCGAAGTGCCCCAGTTGGACCTGACTGCATTGTGTGATGAAAAGAACTGGGAAGGTAGGGTTGTCTGATACTTGGATGATTTGCCATCATTAAAGCATATATAAATAAGCACAAATGAGAGGCATGTAACCGTGTGAGAGTGTGGGTGAAAGAGAGAGGTATGCATGCAGAAGTAACTGCATTTCTAAATGACTGAAAATCCTTGACCTGGCATAGGAATACCTCAGGGTAAATGTTGCTGAGGGCGGCTGCAATCTAAGAAAGAAAATACGCTTGCCCTTCATCATAGTGTCACCTTGCAGGCCTTTTATTTTTCTTTGTGACTCACCAGGGGCGCTGATATGTGCATGTCTTTTCCCCCTCATAGTACCAAGCCGAGTAATAGGGAACCCATGTGCTCTTAGGATTTCTACCTTCTGTGGCGCGATCTTCCACTGCTGCATGCCAGCCGCCTGCCTCTTTCATGAAATCTCCTTCCCATTTTTCAAGAATGACGTTTTGGTTTGCTTTGTTTCTATGTTTGTTTTTATGGATAGATTTTTTTTTTCAGGTTAGCAAATTTAAGGAATTTGCTTATCAGAAAGAACACTGAATACATGCATCTTACTGAAAGCCTGTAATACAGTGAGTGCTTCAGATTTTCTAGAGACTTTGGTGAAAACGTTAGAAATGTACTTGCGAAGAAGAGAGTAGCCTTGTCAAAATTGTGTTTCTAGGAGGATATTGCAGCAGTTTTATCTAGCTGCTTGTTCTTTCATTATCCATGTGTCTGCATCCAAACACATACCAATGTGGATCCAAAATAAATGCCAGTCTACCTCTATACAGTGTGTGCGTGACGGCTGCAAGGAGGGAAAAATTGTGCACCTGATTCCAATACAGCAGCATGACTTAACACAATGACTTACCGGGGGTCTTAGCTGTGAAAAATCAGTCCCGTTTCAGCACGTGGATCTCCTTGTCTTCTCTCCCTACCCACTTTCCCCTCTTTTTTAATCCAAGAAGTTATGTTAATGACGTTAGATGAAGGATCAAGAGGAAAGCTGAAAAGACCACCAGGTGAAAAAGAGTAAACTCCATTTCTGGCATCCAGGGCTTCAGTGAAAACAAACTATTTTTTACTCTAGTACTGTCCTTGCAATCTAAGAAACCTGTTCTAGTTCTTTTTATATAATTAGGCAGTGGATTTGAGATTTTGTCAGACATTTTCAGCTCAAAAGGCATTCACTGAGCAGCAAAACGCAGGGTTGTTTAATTTGTAATTTCAGTTATATATTCCTGAGTACCTTTATGTTCTTTCATTTTTGAGTACTGTGAAAAAATCACGTTAGTTTTTAATTCATACGTTAAAAACAACCTTTGCCCCCACCTCCCCCAAAAAAGTCCCATAGTAGTCACTGTTACCCAAATAAAAGAAAAATGTAGTAACCAAAAAAATAAATGTTATATTTGCACAAGTCTTAGTGATATGGTCTACACTAAAGCTCTAGATAAAAACTAGGATTTTTGGTTAGAATTCAAATTAGCCATATTTTTTCTTTCTCCTAAAATGGACTCAGTTTGTTATTTTTATCTTGGTTAGTCATAAATGTATCGTCTCTCCCAGCCACTGAAATAATGCTAATATAAAGCTGAGAATACTCTTCAGAGTGACCGCACGCCAGTTTATAGTTTCCTTAAAGCTATTAACATAAAGAATTTTCCTTCAGATTATAATTGAAGGAACCAACATTTTATTTTAGAAATCTAGATGGATTTTTTTTTAAGTTATTGGAAAAAAATACATTGCATTTTGATAGGCTTGGGAAAGTGGATTGTGTATTCCAAGTAGTTTTTGAGATAACTTGCTTTAACTTTTTTTGTTTTTGTTTTGCCAATTACCGCATTTGTTATTGAACGTACATATCTTTAAAATCTACATGAATTCACACTAAGGCCATTCTGATCATTTGGTTACTGCTTTCAGTGACCTTTTTTTAAAGCTTATGTACTTATTGCAACTTTAGCATTAATATAGCTATAAGTATAATAAAAGTAAAGGAATTTTTGCATAAAATGAGAGCAATAAGTCTGATCACTAAAATATCACCGTTTTTATAGCTAAAATAAGAAAATGGTGTCTTTCCAGTAAGGAATAAACTTTGCATGAATTTGTGAATGTGAAGCCAGTGCAACAAAATATGTAAACAAAAGTCGTAATTAGCAAAAACCACCTGAACCAGTATTCACCTGCAAGCCCCCATCACCAGTCTTCAAGCCACCATCCCCTCTTTTGTTTGGTTGCTCCTTCCCATCCCCATACCATAGCTCATACTCTCACATTCGTGTGGAATCGCAGAATATCAGGTGAAGCAATACTTACTGCAGAGGCGAGCACCAGCAGGCTATTCACTAAGTACTGCCCCTCCACACGAAAATGATGTTCATTGGCTTCTGGGACTCAACATCAAGGAAACAAAAAGGGAAATGAAACTAATAAATAGATTCCATAGGACATGTAGAATGGAACCCTCACAAAGTGAACGTAGGATCCGAGTCTGGTCATGCTTATTGGCAAATACTAGGCGTACTTTATCCTTTTAAATATACATAGCTGTTTTATTATTTGCTTTATCCACATGACTGTTATTACTGGGATTTCCTTTCACCAGAGTTAAATGAATATACAAATTTAATATACTATTCTGTGTTATTTAAAGCTCTTCAGAGTTGCATAATTAGAATGTTCCCAAGCAGTCGATTATGTTGATTTGAGGATACTCCTTGTGTAAGTACTGGGGTTTAAGCAGTCAGCTACTCTATTCAATATGCCCTGATGAAATTAAATTTAAAGGGGCATTTTAAGCCGGGCATGGTGGTCTGCGCCTGGAGTCCCTACTACCTAAGGGGCTGAAGCAGGAGGATCACTTCAGCCTGGGAGTTCAAAACCAGCCTGGGCAACATAACAATTCCCCATTTCAAAAACTGGGGAGCTGGGTGGTATTTTTAAAAGGGCATAAGATACTTCATATATCTAAAACGTACTGCTTGTTGAAAGTAACTTTGGAAAGGAAATTCGCTAAAAGTATCATAGAAAAGCAAGAGATCTCAAAAGACCTTCCGCTTGAACCTTCCTGTTATACAGATAAGAATACTGAGGCCAAAAGAAGCAAACTGATGATTCAGAGTAACAAAGTCTCCTCACTTCCACCTGATGCCTCTTTCTAAACAATGTCAGTTTTGTATCCTTACAGGCAACAGATCAAAGTAGTTACAAGCCAGATTCCCTGGGTTCAAATCCTGGCTCTGCTGCTTATCAGCTTTACGACAAGTTAGTAAACCTGCCTTGGTTTTCACCTTAATTTTCCCATCTTTAAATAGGGTGGTAACAGTAGGTAATAATGAATAGTCGATACAGTAGTATCTATTTAATAAGTAATGCAAGGATTAAATGAGCTACAATATGCTAAGTGCGCAGCACAGTATGGGCACTTAGTAGGTATTATGTGAGTGTTAGTTTTATCTTCCATAAATCTTTCCAAGTATAGCTTCAGGAAAAGACAGCCTAAGTTTGCCTTCTTTGAAACCAGAGCTCAGTTTACCAAATGGCCATGGATGACTCTGAACACAAGAGGAATCAGTAGTACTAGGTCCTCTACAGATTTACTAAGGATTAACCATGTCACACCAACCTCCTTTCTTTCTTTGATATTATTAATACTAGACTCTAGATTAGGGAAATGGTGCATTTGAAAAGACTTCAGCTGGGCCTCTGACAGGGCCTTAATGATAGCCTGACTGTCAGAGAAGCAGGAGAGAAGACAGGTGGGGTAGTGAATTAGTAACTGATGAAACAACTGTTCTTAAATATGCACATAAGTGGATCCAAGTCAACTCACACGGGGGTATTCTCATTAGGTAAAAAGTCCTCAGCCCTATCCTGTTCCACACATTTATTAATGATTTAAATGGAGCTACTAAGGGCTTGCTTGTTAACTTTGCAAACAGGGACAAAGCAGTTATATGAAATGTAAGGATTAAATTTGTGATTGATAAAGCTGACTACTCTAGTTCTTCCTAACTCTGATAGTTTACAAGACTAATTGAACAATTTAATAGGACTAACATTGTTCTAAATTTTGGAACACTAAAAATGTTATAAAATTCTTTCAGGAAAGAGCCTCCACCATGAGGCTTATATCTTTCTATGTTTGGGATGTCCAAGTACCTCCTAACTCAGCTGAGCAGAAAGATGGTTACATCTTGCCAAGGAGTAATGGCTCTAAATAATACAGTTGGAAAGGAAATGTGGAAAACATCAGCCCCCTTAATTCTGTGCAGATTTCTGAGAAATAAATCATCTCAATAGCCGGTTTTCTTTTATATAGTAAGTGGATCCAGCCAGCCAAGCAGAGAGTAGCTATGTCCCAGTGACCACGATAGCATTACTCAGAGATATGTCCCTCTTTCTACAGAAAATTTCCGTTATATCCATGTGTACTATGGTGTCTGAACTGGAAGTCCCCCAGGGCCTAGTCTTTTTTATTACTTCAGTAGCAAGCATGCAGCTTTTATCTCTGTTATTTCAGACCTGCTGCGATGTCAACTGACCTGGGTGGATTAATTTTTAATAGAGAGGCATGTCATACTTATGTCCAGAGTTCACTGTGACGAGACACATGACTAGAAGCAAAACTAACTGTATACAAGGAACTTTGGTCTAGATATGAAAATGCATTTATTTTACGTGGTGCTTTAGCAAGACAGTCCAGTGTGAAGCCTCACATGCCTCCTGTTTTTCCCTTTGAATAATTTTCTTACAACATCCCTGTCTCTTTCCTTGCTCTAGCATTGCTAGTTAAAATATAAAATATTGCCCAAAGTAGCAACTGGGAATGATAAGTGAATACATTCTCAAAACCAGCTCTCTAGGCAGGCGGTGAAATTAGACCTATTACCTACCACACTACCTTATTTAGTTCTTTGTTGTTGTTCTAGTTGAGTGCCAACTATCAAAATGTGAGCCTTGTGCTTTTAGATCATTTCAAACTAAAATGGGGAACAGTTTTACTGATTCCTTAGTTATAGTGAACTGTGTATTACATGTCATTTTATAACTCTTTTGAATAGAAGCCTTAAACTATAAGACGATCGAATAACAGAAAAGAGAGAAAAAGGGGAAAATCATGTAAGCATTTTGTGTTGCATAGATGAGAAACCTTTCACTTCTGTTCTACATGCATACCTTTTTATTAAAGTCGAAATTTCATATAGTTTTACATTTCTCATTTTAAAATAAGTGAATTCATTCAACCTAACTATATGCTTTAGGAGAAAATGTCACTGATAAGCTAGAATTACTGCAGCTGTGTATTTCCTGTATACCACGGGAGACACTAGGAAAAGGACACATTTGATCTCCCTGTCAGTGAAGCAATTGATCAAGAATAAAGCCACAAAATAAAGCTGTGTTAACAAACAAGAAAACTGATGGATGGCCCTGCCATTAGCCACAAAGCATCAAATAATGATTATTCAGTTCCATGATTAGCATTTTATAGTGAATTCAAGATCACAGTTTATCTTATCACACACACTTATAAGTAAATATTTGTATACACAGAGACCACCTAGTTGAAAACTTAAAGAAGAGTTGTAACATTTTTAAGGAAATATTCTGCTAGATTCTAACACATTAAAGGGCTTCAGGATGTAAGGTAACACCTTTTAAACTAAGTTTTTATGAATAGAAATGTCAAACTAACCAGCACACTCAAATGCCAATATCAACATCAGACTTTGCTTTGCCAGAGCCCTCTGTCCCCAGGAAGGCTTTGCTGCTTTGCCACTCTGCAGTGAGCTTTATTGCCTGCTGCATTACTGTTCGAGCCATCTTAACCCTTTCCCTCTCCTGGGGAAAGTCCTTGCAGAAAATTATGCGGTCTCATGAAATATCATGACAGAGAAGATGCAAGCTGGTCAGTTTAATAGCTCCATTTTCTGCAGCTGACATGTTTTATTTTTTCTAGGGGTTGCTTTCCACTCCCCCTTCGTTACTTCGCCTCTCAGTCCATTTTCTATTCTTTTATGTTGGCAGTTTGAGCTGCTTGTGCCCAAGTCCTACCAGTTAGAAGGAGCAGACCGATAATGTTAGCACAAATGATGAAACACCTCCTGTTCGTCTCCAGCTTTCGCCAAGCACATCTACTAGCATGTCCTCTGCCACTTTTTGAGCCTCAGTAGATATGAATCTGTCTTTCACACTGCTTTCATTTCTCAGAATGTTTGTATTTTTGTCTGCGTTTCCAGATAACCTAGCTCTCTTTAAATTTCGAGAACCTGTGGACCTCATTCCATATAAAGTAATTTTTTTAATCAATATGCTTATCCTCCCTATTATGTGGGATCTACAAAAATCTCAAAGCTGCCACTCTTATGGAAGCACTTGGCACATTCTAAGTTGTAGCATGGATCTGGAAGTCAGGAGACTTAGCTTCTAGACCCACCTCTTAGGGTTTCAGTTTCCTTATCTGTCATCTGCCGGGTCGGATCAATCGTTCTCAAACCTGGCTGCACATGAGCATCACCTGGACAGCTTTTAAACTTGTGTGTGTGTAACGGGCAAATATCTGGACCCTCACCTAAATGTTGTTGACTTGGTGTGAGAAGCCTGCTTTCTGGTAGTCATTTATATTTCCCTGTGTGACTTCAATGTGCGGCCAGGATTGAGAAATCACAAAATTAGTTGAGGTATGAAGTCACACCCAGCTGTAACATTCTAGGATTATCTATTTTTAAATAGAAGCCTGAATAAGCACGTATTCAAGATAGTTTTGCACATTTTATAGTATGATAGGTAGAGGAGCAACTGTTCCATGATTCAAAGTCTAGGAATCCCAGAATTGAAGATCATGGCCAAATTCTAGCCTTGTGTCAATCACAGTAATCCACAAGTAAATTTAAAGCATAACTCATTTTATAATGCAAACATTACAGAGGAAATACCTTATCTCATCGACATCTATTTTTTAAATCTTTTAGATGGGTTTTTTTAAATGAGGAAAGGAGTCTATTGAGGTGTCTTACAGTAAATAGAAATAAACAATTGCCTTCTTCCCTCCCTAAATGACAGATCAAGATTCTGTGCTGAGCATGTTATTTTTTTTTTAACAGATTATCTAAACTGATTTGTACAAATGTGTCCTTTGTAAGGTGTTCGTTTTTCCTCTGTTGGCTAATTTATGTATGCATCTCACTCTAACTGGAGTCTTGAGCAGCTTCTGAAGTTTCGAGCGCAAAGCATGCATCTTAAATGTGCTAATCCCAACACACTTAAGCAGAAGCACACAAAACAGCTTACTGGATGACCTCGAGGGAAGTTATAAACTCCTAAATACATAGGCTCTCTCAAGATTGATGTGGTTCCTTAGCTTGACTCCTCAGTTGTTTAGTGAAGGCTGTACAGCTGTGATGACAAATATCTCCCCCATCAACACATTTTCTTTTTTTTTTTTTTTTTTTTGAGACAGAGCCTCACTCTGTCACCCAGGCTGGAGTGCAGTGGCACTATCCCTGCTCACTGCAAACTCTGCCTCCTGGCTTCAAGCGATTCTCGTGCCTCAGCCTCCCGAATAGCTGGGATTACACACATCCGCCACCAGGCCAAGCTAAATTTTGTATTTTTAGTGGAGATGGGGTTTCACCATGTTGGCCAGGCTGGTCTCAAGCTCCTGACCTCAGGTGATCTGCCTGCCTTGACCTCCCAAAGTGCTGGGATTGCAGGCGTGCACATTTTCTGTTCAATGATGCCATCAGGTGGAAGAGTTTTGTCACTGATCGACTGGGCTTCCCCCTTCAAGGCTCCTCCCCAGGGTAGCCCTAGCAAATTCTCTTTGGAAAGCCAGTGGGAATGGAAATGAGAGGTAGATAGATGATGGCTGTCAGACACGTTAGTGATTTCAGTTGGGGCACAGTGTCCTTAGTCTAGACCTTAGCTGTAAAATGAGAAATGATTCAATGGGCAGCTTCCTAAAGCATCTGGGAAGCCTGGGAAACACTTGTGTTTTAAAGAACAACCCTGCCCTCTTTCAGGAACAGTCCTGACCTCTTACTGCCCTTATTTTCCAGAGCCTATCCCTGCTTTCTCCTCCTGGCAGCGGGAGAACAGTGACTCTGATGAAGCCCGCCTCTCGCCGCAGGCTGGGCGCCTGATCCGTCAGCTGCTGGACGAAGACAGCGACCCCATGCTCTCTCCTCGGTTCTACGCTTATGGGCAGAGCAGACAATACCTGGATGACACGGAAGTGCCTCCTTCCCCACCAAACTCGCATTCTTTCATGAGGTATGTTTCTCTGTGTTGCCGATAGGTAAATGCATCATCCCCACAACATCAGAAAAGATAGGAATGGCACTGATAGCGAATAATGTTTTTTTAATTAAGTCGTGAGCCTATGGAGCAACATATGTGAAATTCTCCATCCTAGGACACAGGCCGTGTTGCAGTTTCCCATTTGAGCTGTGGCCCAACTGCAACATCACATATTGAATTTTCTTAGCACCTCCTTTCCAAAGCACTCTCCGATTCAGCTCTTTTAGGCCCACAGGAAAGGTCGACTTCAGTCCTACTTTGCTAATTATAAATGTGAGCTAGAAAAGCTTAGAAGTATACTTAATAGGTGGGACATACTGCGCTCCAATGGATCAGTCAAGTGTCTTTTATTCAAGAGGAGAGAGGCTGTTTGGTCTTCACGCTGCCACCCCATCCCACCACCACACGCCACATGGTGTCGCACTTCTCCAGGGCCCCTCTCGCCAAGCAGTGACTGCTCCTGGGGAAACTGACCCAAGTTGTACTCTTCCCAGGCGGCGAAGCTCCTCTCTGGGGTCCTACGATGATGAGCAAGAGGACCTGACGCCTGCCCAGCTCACACGAAGGATTCAGAGCCTTAAAAAGAAGATCCGGAAGTTTGAAGATAGATTTGAAGAAGAGAAGAAGTACAGAGTAAGTGTCCCCTCACACTGTTCTTTTCACCTCCCCCTTTCCCTGGACATGCCAGTGTTTCAACAACTCAAAGAAACAACGAAAGGTTAAGGAAGACTTCTAGGGAATCTTACAACAAAAAGGCAGTAAACCCTGGATAGTACACCCTGATAAACCCCAATCATTATGTGTCAGCATTTTTCTTGCACAAGTGCATTCTTACCAAAAAAAAATGAAAGTTTAAATCTACATTTTATAAATTAATCAGTAAGCAGGAGCTGGAGAAATTGCTGAATGAAATCGTTTGACTAAAATTTAATTCAATATTATCTTCTGAAATCTCGTTAGCACTGAGCTCGTTCTGCTGTCAGCTCTGTACTCAGGATTTCCCACAAGAGTGGCAAACAGGCATTTTCATGATGGTTGCTGAGCAAAACATCATATACCCCTCTGTTTTCTACACTGTTTGCCTTACAGGTTGAACCCTACAAATAATGGCAAGGGGGTCATGGACCTCACAGAAGTCCCTGATCATAAAGATGCATTTTGCCTCTGAGGAATTTTTTGAAAGCATCAAAATAACCAAATGGAAAGGATAATGGAATTACATTTGTGTTTAATTTCTTATTCTGATGGGGCTCAATTTTTCCTTCCTATTTAAAACAAAAATGATCATCAAACACTTCTTCTTTTCCCTGCTCCAGTTCCCAAGCATTTACTCTAGACTTCCTTTTCTCAGCCTTCCCATAGTGACAAAGCAGCCAATGCAGAGGTTCTGAAATGGACAAATGACCTTGCCAAATTCCGGAGACAACTTAAAGGTGGGTAAAGTTCTGGAGCTGTGGCTTCTGTACAACAAGCCAGGTGCAGAGTCTCTCACCTCCTCTCCCACCGACTGCCACTGCTAAGGCATTCCAGGGTCCTTAAAGATGCTTCCCAGCACTCTCAGCTATTCAGAGTGACCACAGCCCCAGGTCTTTGCATGGTCTCAGTCATAGGGAAACCAGATCAGCTAAGAAGCGAATCCTGCAGCTTTCTTCATTTCCCTAGATCACTAATAGAAAGGATGATGGTTTCAAGTCAACATCTCTCAAACACCTGTTTAATCCAAGTCTCCATTTGCTGTGGTGGTAGAAGCAAACAAGTAGACAGAGATGAATCTGCAAAGCGTTTGGCCCCCATCCCTCAAAGAGATTCCCATCTTTTCAGAGACATGGTCATATAAACAACTGAATAGAATACAAAGGAACCTAATTTCAGAATAAAGTATGTAAGTCATACAGAAAAGGTTGGCCAGTGGTTGGGCATTAGATTAGTAAATACCTTTAACCACTGAAGGAACAAGGATGCCACATTCTGAGAACATCATATAGGCAGATGCGGCTAAAGCTTTCTCAGCAATTAGTGTTAGGAAAACATTCCATGTAATCAAAGAAGATGTTACCATTAGCTCAGGTTTTACATAATAATTCAGGGATTTCTACTGATACTGTAACTAGATACTCTCTGAAAAAAGACAGAATAAGTTATTGACACTACAGAAAAATAATTTGTGTTGGGCAGACATCAAATCTCATATCTCTACCCCGAAATCTTCTCAACTAGAGTCAAAACTAAAGATATCTGAAGAGGACCTAACTCCCAGGATGCGGCAGCGAAGCAACACACTTCCCAAGAGTTTTGGTTCCCAGCTTGAGAAAGAAGATGAGAAGAAGCAAGAGCTGGTAGATAAAGCAATAAAGCCCAGTGTTGAAGCCACGTTGGAATCTATTCAGAGGAAGCTCCAGGAGAAGCGAGCGGAAAGCAGCCGTCCTGAGGACATTAAGGTGCGATGATTCTGTGAAGTCCTAAGCCCCAGTCAATGTGGTAGGGACACAGGGCATGCCACGCGAATCCCAGTAGGAAGGTGGTGCCTTGTTAAGCCTTCCAGGCTGTTAAGTGTCTAGAGAAGCTGATGAAACCACTGCAGAGTGTGTTAACTGTGGGTGCTTTGGTTTTTGACTACAGACTGAAAACAAAACTCTATTGTATAGGTTACAGAATGAACTTGTTTAGGTTAATAGCTGGTTTTGTGACTCTCTGAGGTAGAAGGATTAGAGACAAACCTTTGGGACTGTGTAACATATAACTGTCGTCATTGCTTGGGCCATTAAGCTAAGCCCCATGTGCCTCACAGCCCTGCTTACCTCAGTGTTCACAGTACCTTTACTGCCATGTGGGAGATCCAAGTGGCTGATGATTCCGCTGTGCTGGTCACATTTTTCCCAAGAGTTCAGGAATAGCACTAAATGAACTTTGGATAGAGCTAGGGAGAGCTGTTATATGAGGAATCTTTTTAGTCTTGCTTTAGGAATGTGTTTAAGTAAAGAAGTTGGAATGTTCACAAACATTTTCCTCTCTTTCCATTCTCTATCCCTATGTTTATACAGGATATGACCAAAGACCAGATTGCTAATGAGAAAGTGGCTCTGCAGAAAGCTCTGTTATATTATGAAAGCATTCATGGACGGCCGGTATGTGATGTAGTAAATTTTCTGATTGGGGTCAATTATCTGGCTTTAGAAATGGATTTTCTATGTTCAGTATTTTACAAATGGGGTTCCCTAGTGTCTGCTTTCTTTACTTTTAGGATAAAGGAGGTTACTATATATTTACACCATAACTAAGCTTTCTGAAGGCTTAGCCAATAAGAAAGTTCTATCTAGTAGATGTTGAACTTAATTGGGTTCCAATGAAAAATTTGTTTGCAAGTAAAATTTAGTCATTAATGTACTGCTTTAAAGGAAGGAATGGTGGAGGGGCCAGGGGTTGGGGGGGCAGAGTATAGGGCATAAAGACCCCTGGAGTTTGAAGACTTCCCTGTCCCTAGGTCTCCCCCGATAAGCTGTCACTGACTGTAGGCTTCCTCATCCATAAAATGAAAAGTGTTAAACTAGAATGATCTACCTTAAAATTCAATCTCTCTGCAATGCAGTGCAACTAGTGTTTGTCTGTAAAGAAGTTCCAGCTGCCATTCAGAACTAGAAGTGTGAGGAATCCAAAATATGGCTTTGCCTTTTCCTAATCACGGAAGCATTTGCAGTGGCTTGCTGTTCAGCAAGCACTGCTGGAATGTTTGTTGTTAGCTGTGGGGGAAGCGGTAGCACGATAGGCTTCTGCTCTCTTCCTTGAAGAACTTTTCATCACACACCCTTCTTGTCAGTCATTCTTAATAACCTTTTGTTCATAATGTTGTTAGAGACCTAACAAAACAAATTCTTAAAAGCAGGTATAAGGAAGCATGAAGTTTAGGTTCACTGATTATTTTTACATAGCCAAAAAGTATAGATCTCTTTTTCAGTCTTGGCCATGACTATATGATAGTCTTTTCATCTAAAATATGCTCTTTTAAATAAAGAAGGTTCCAGAATAATTCACTAGACTCTAAGGTGTGGGAGGGCAGGGATTCTGGGCTTTGTTCCCCTAGTGGTGACCCCAGTCCTCAGTGTCTAGCACCAGACCTGACACATGACACGGGTCCAATAACTATCTGTAGAATGTCTCCTTGGTGGCATTTTATTCTGAATTTATCAGGTTTAAATGTAAAAAAAAAAAAAAAAATGCTGGCACTGATGATGATTTATTCTGCTGGCCTGTCCCTGCAGTGGAAAATACTGACACTCTGGGATAATGTTCATGCTTCAGCCAAGCTTTGTGTGGGATTTTTTTAAAGGCATTGAACCAAATAGTAAGTGCTCTAGAGCTCAAATACGCTGTGAAACTTTCTCCTTCTCCACTGGAATGTTCAAAATGTGTAGAGGAAGAAGTGAACTTCTTTTATCAGAGAGATGCTCCTTCTCCACAATAGGCTCAGAACCCTAAAGTATAGATCTCTGTGTAGCCGTATGGCAGGCCTCATGGAGAAGGTGTGTTTTCCTTCTTTAACATTTCCTCTTTTCCTTCTGTGGATTTGGGTTATGACATTGATAGACACCTTTAAGGACTTCCATGCCCAAGGCCCTTAGGAGCTCACAGCTGTGTTCTAGATAGACTTAACCTTGCTACCAGTTGAGTATTTTGTGTGCTGTAGTATTTGTTGCTCTGAGTTGGGAACAGATTCCCTCAATCAGTCTGGACTGGGTCAAACACATAGAATTGGCAGACCCAGCTTCAAAACCAGCCCCACTGAGATGATCTCTGTGACATTGGGCTGCTTAGGTAACCTCTCAGAGCCTTGGTGCTTTGTCTATATAATAGATACCTGTTATAAATTGCCAAGGAGATGAAATGATATTACACACACACACAGACGTTTATCTGTGTATATTTACCTGTAGGATGTCTGCCACTGAGGAAGTGGGGTGGGGTGGCTGTTACTGGGTTTGCACAGTAAATGATAGTTTTCACTTCTGTTACAATTACATGTTCTACTCTCTGTAGCCTCCTTCTGATTAAGTGATTAAATCAGGCAAAAGAATGTGCATTTCATAGCCCTCTTATTAAGAATATGAACTATTATTCTTGGCCCTGCCTTATTTCCTTTCATCACTCTTTCAGGTGGGTCTGGATGCTAGCATCTCATAGGGTGGGGAACAAATGCCGTAGGAAATTTGAGCATCATTCATTTCTGGTCCCGTGCCAAACTCTCTGCCTCTCTCTATTTGGAATGTGATGCTCCAACCTCTTCAGGAAAAGCAGAGTTCATTTGATATCTGGCCAGTCTGAAAAACAAATCAAAGAGTAAACTTTTAATTCTTAGATTTCTGGTGTTACCATGGACTCTGGACTGTAAATACCATGTGGTATTTTTCTTAACTTCCAGAGTGAAACTATTGTTCCAAACCCCAATTGTTCAGAAAAGCAGGTGCTCAGAATTCAATAGATTTTTTCTGAGTCTACAGGTACTGATTTAAAAGGGCACTAACTAGTAAAATCTTAGGCCGAAACTGTAATCAGCTGCTTCTGTACATTTTTAGCAAAGCTGTTTGCTTTATCAGGGCACTCTGCAGACTTACACATATATAAAAACAAAACACTCATGTATACACAGGCATATAATTCCCTATTCTTATTAAAGTGTGTCCTTTTCAATATTTAAGGATCTTCTCATCAAAAGAGCATGTCACAGAAGTGCAGTAAATAACTACATGTCACTGTGTTACTGTCTGTGTATCCCACTATTTGATAATAAACAGAGGGGAGAGAATGGGTTGCCTGATCAGAGCTTCTGGTTCTTCCTCAATGGAGTATTTTAGTCTTGTGTGTTTTTAAACCTTGAGGACCCTAGACACAGTCATGTTCAAATTTAAATGCAAATTCTGGAGCCATTTATAAATATTCTCCTTTGGCTAACTGCTGTTTTGGATTTTCTGATCTTTTTACAGTCTCTTATGATTACCTGATAACGAAGAGAGAGTTGTCATTTTTCAAATTAATAGGCCAAGAATGCAACAGTTATAAGAATCCATCTCATTTTGTCTTCTCCTTCTAGCAGTTTGATGATTCAGAGGTATACCCCTCACACACAAACTCAAAGTACTTCTTGTTTTATCAAGGAGAGTTTGAGGCCACATAGTTTGTCTATGACATAATTTCTCACAAAGTTGTGTTTCTGTGACACTATTCATAAGCACAAATTTTTGTAAATTCAATATAGGCAAACTCTCGGCTTGGAAGGCAGAGTTCTTTGTTATGAAGGCAGCTTGGCCAAACCCTATTAGAGAATAATGCTACATCTCTGTGCTATATTGACAGCACTATATCCTTTATGCTGTATTGACGTGCTACTGATTGAGCATCCCGAATCCAAAAATCATCACAGTTAAAGATCCTACTTCTTATTTGTGAAAGAAAACAACTGGAAGTCCATAAACCTCGGATCTGGACCCAACTCTGTGGCCTTGAGCAAATCATTACCCTCTCTGGTGCTTTAATTTTATCATCTAAAAAATAAGGCTTTTCTAGCTCTTAATATTTCATAGTTCTAATTTATCTTTATTTTTAAAGTAAATACATTCATCATTTTACCTTTCACCTTTGTGATTTTGTCAGGTAACAGCAACTAAACTGATATTGCAGTAACGAAGTTTTATTTGAGGCTAAGACCAAAACCATCACAAAAGATAAAGGCAGACAAATGCAGCTGCCTAATCAGGCCTTTATGATTTCTGTTCAAGACTTGCCATTAATTAAATGTGGATAATTGTTGGCTAGTGTTCCCTTTGTGTTTTGAAATATCCGAAACTTACGGGGCAACCAAATAGGGTAGTAAGAGACCAGTAAATGACAATTTATTTGAATCATTAAGGAAAGACGGAGTGGAAGTGCTGCATTCTCCCCTTAGATCTTCACATCTGGATATTTACGTTGTTTCACTTAAGTGCAAAAATACGTCTTCCGGATAACCCTAGTTCCACATATTGGAAGACCATTCAGCACTATCACTTTAGATAAAGTTTTGAAGACAGAGGAGTGAAAGTACTTTGAAGAGAGAATATACTATATGCCTGGCCTAAAGTCATTTCCAAGCCATTAGGAAGCATAAAGGTTTTTTAATTTGATTTCTGCAATTTACCATTCAGAAAACTGAGGCTGAGAGAATTTCAGTAGCTCATTCAGAGCCCTGTTCTTGGTGGGCAGCAGAATCCCTGAGCAGCTGATGAGTCAAGAATAAGAGACGTCAACTCAAACGGTTTTCCTATGGCAGACTTAATAGCTCTTTTTTGACAGTTCAACGAAGGTCCTGCTTTGTTCATATAACTACTGATTAAATTTTGACCCCACTTACAAACCGAGCACTGATCGTTATTATGATGGGTAAAAGTTGCATTAACTTTTAGTATCACTGAGCCTTTGGCTTCAAATATATATCATGAAAATGATTATGATAAAAATCAGGTCATTATTCTTACACCTTTCTCTTACCTCAGACTTAAAGATCTTTGATATTTTTAGTGCTTCTGTTAAATGACAATGGTTTTGTGGAATCATGAGTTTTAACTCTCCATAGTCAAAAACACTGGATTTTGTCAGATCACCCACATGTGATTAGTTCCTGGGGGCCACTTATTGAAAACATGAGCAATTTGTAGAAAATCTAAATATCAATGGCATGAGCCGAAGAATTAAGCCAGTGATCTTCCTCATCTCCTCCAAGTAGAAAACTTTCTTTTTGAATAAAGAGTAAGAAGGAGATTGGTGTGTGTCAAATTTGTCGTAACTGGTTGGTTTTACTTTCAAAGATGTTTCTGCCAAATACATACTAATGGATGCTAGTTCACAGTGGGGATGCTGGCTGGTTCCTATTTCTATTTTTAGTTTACTTTGGTTACTCAACCATCTATTGTTTATCTTGCACATTATATTTCACCATGTGTCATGTGCTGACATTAGGATGCACTTTCATCTCATCTACAACATGTTCTATATATTGTTTAAAAAATTATTTCATGTGTCCGACAGTCCTAAATTCTGTCATTTTACATATGACATTGTACAAATCATTTCATTTCTGTTCCTCACACTTTTTTGTGGCTATCGTTGCACTTTTGTTGAAGTACAGGTTGAATATCCCTTATACAAAATGCTTGGGACCAGAAGTGTTTCAGATTTTAGATTTGTTCAGATTTTGGAATATTTGCATTATACTGATTGAGCATCCCAAATCCCAAAATCTGAAATTCAAAACGTTCCAATGAACATTTCCTTTTGGCATCATGTCAGTTCTCAAAAAGTTTCAGATTTTGGATTTTCAGATTTGGGATGCTTACCATGTATAACGTTAGTGCAGAAAAGAGCCCAAATTATAAACATATGTCTTGATGAAATTTCACAAAGTAAACACACGCAGGTAACCAGCACCCAGATCAAAAAACAAAACGTTGCTGATCCTCCAAAGGCCTCGCTTATGTTCCCTTCCAGTCAGTACCATGACTGAAGGTTCCACAGAGAAAAACCACTATCATCTCACTCTGTGGCTCTTTCTTATTTTTGACCTTTATGTAAGTGGAATCTGACAGTATGTTTTGTGTCTGGTGTAATTTACTCGGCTTTATTATTATGAGGTTAATCCGTGATGTTGCATATAGCTGTGATTCACTCATTCTCATTGCTGTGTAATATTCAGTTTGGGGAACATACTTCATTCTATCACTGGGCATATGGGCGATTTCTGGTTTGGGACTATTTCCAGTTTGGGATTACAGTGCTGCAATGAACATTCTTACATATGTCTTTTGATGAACTTAAGGCCACCTTTGTTTGGTATATACTGAAGAGTGGAATTGACGAGTCATAAGTTCAGCTCTAGTAGGTACTGCCAAATAGTTTTCTAAAGTGTTTCACTTCTAAAGAGTTCCAGATGTTCAACATCTTTGCCAGCACTGCACACAGTCTTCATTTCAGCTGGGTGGTAGGTGTGTAGCGGGTGACACCTGTGGTTTGATCCTCAGTCTTTTTCTGTAAAATAATGAGACCCTTCTAGTTTTGACAGTCATTGTTTATAAAATTATGAAACTCCTCATGGTATAGTAGATAGTAGAAGAAGAAAATACCAATTGCCCGTTAGTTATCTGATAACAGAAGAGCAAGAAATAAAAGGCTGTTATTCTTGTTGATCTTATTCTAACTTGTCAAGTTTATCCAAAGCACACTTTCTGTTGATCACTTTGAGAAAGGCAAATACAAAAGGCAACAAAGGATCATCCATTTCTTTATAATCCAGAGTCATCTTTGAAGTTGAAGGCTCAAACAACCCATAAAAGAAATGGTCAAAGCTAATGCTACTTGCCTTTCTTACCTCTAAAACTCTTGCCTTATTATGTGTGAAGTTGTAAGAGAATGCAGGAGACAAACAGCTAACTTGAAACAAAGATGCTTCATCTCATTCCCCATTTAAGTAACCAATGGGACTGCATCTGTGAATCAGGCACACCTATTTATGTTTGAACCATTTATTCACTCATTTGATATTTATGGAATATTTCCACCAAGTATTCAGGCACTGAAATAGTTACTAGGGATACAAAAACATAAACTCCTGCTCTCAAGGGGCTACAGTCTCAAGGAGGAGACACGTGTCAACATATCGCTACAATAGAGTATAAAAGCATTTGTGAAATTGCAGGGTATGTACCAGCAGGGTGGTGAAACAAAGGAGAGAATGGGTGAGTCTCCTAGAATGGGGGATGTTGGAAGAAGGCTGCACAGGGAAGTGGCTCTTGATCTGGAATTTGCCAAACAAAAGAGCAAAGAGGAAGTCATGGCAGGGTAGAGGGAATTAGACAAGAAGGTTGAGACAACCTACTTGATTGCTGGAGCTGGAGGTGTGATGGGGAGGAGAAACAGCAGAAAGAGTATGAGGCGCTTCCAATACTGTACCAGGGAGCTGGGTGTGATTCCTCCCCAGTGCCTGGAGAATCTGTCCTTTAAACATTTTTTAGCCCTGTGCCAGATTCTATTAGGGATATACAGATGAATCAGTGCATGTATTTTTCATCAAATGTTCCTTGAATACCCACTGTTTGCCAGAATCTTGTTCTTAGAAGCATAACAATTTCATAGAGGAGAAAGAGAAGTGAATGAACTACATGATATATCTTTTTTTTTTAAGACAGTCTTGGTCTGTCACCCAGGCTGGAGTGCAGTTGTGTGATCTTGGCTCACTGCATCCTCCACCTCCTGTGTTCAAGCGATTCTCCACCTCATCCTCCTGCATAGCTGGGGCTACAGGCGCCCACCACCACACCCAGCTATTTTTTTTTTCCTTTTTTTTTTTTTTTTTTTTAAGTAGAGACAGGGTTTCACCGTGTTGACCAGGCTGGTCTCGAACTCCTGACCTCAGGTGATCTGACTGCCTCAGCCTCCCAAAGTGCTGGGCTTACAGGCGTGAGCCACCGTGCACAGCCTACATGATACGTCTTATAGCAAATATATGCTTTCATTTTCCCTGGGCTCAGAAAATAGTCATGTGGGAACTCTGAACCTGGAGGAGTTTTAAGCAGGAACCTGAGAATGAGCCTAGTTTGGATTTAGAAAAAGTTGTACTACCAATGGAGTGACTTCCACTGATCTGCAGCTGAAGTAGATAATCTGAATATTTATTGAATAAATAATATTATCAGTTTGAATAAATTTTGTGAGGGTAGTAAGACTTAAGTTGCATCATCTGGAGTTTCTCTAGAATTACAAAGGCCCAGAGCATGCTTAGACAGCTGGTCGTGACTCCCAGCAGCAGGCTTCTCATAGCTCTCGTTCTTGCTTTTCAGGTAACAAAGAACGAACGTCAGGTGATGAAGCCACTATATGACAGGTACCGGCTGGTCAAACAGATCCTGTCCCGAGCCAACACCATACCCATCATTGTGAGTAGAATACCTTCCTGTGGCTGCTACAACACCTTTCTGCTTGAATGGGCCCTGGATATATGAATTAGGACCCTAACCTGCTTTCTCATTAAAGAATAGGCTTTAGTGGCTGAATCAGCCATTAGTATCCATGACCCACAGCTTGAGGAATGAAGACTTTATCAAAGACCCTTGAGGCTACATTTGTTAAAAATGGGCAAATCTGAAGCTGATAGAATTTATTTTTCCCTTTTGGAGGACTTGCTTTGCCCCAAAGGCATGTACATCCATTGGATGTGCTGGGCCAGATGGACAGAGCACCAAGGGCGCAGGGCTGTGCTTTCTCCAGGCCTCTTCACTCCAAAGAGTACTGCTGTGGTCCCAAGGCCCTCTGCTCATAGTCCCTCCCATCCAAGAGGGGATAACTCCCTTGGGAATTGTGTCCAGGGAGAAAATCCTCTGAGAAACTCAAGAAAGAGGCCCTTCTTCTTGGAGGATGTGGCAAGGTGTAGGAAAGGAGGCTGCTCATTGAAGTTGCTGTCAGTGGCCACCATCCTTGAACTTTGCTGCTTTTGGCTCCTGGATTTTGATTTTGTCAAGAGTAGGGAGCAGCAGCTTGCCTTCAGCGACAGGACAGTCTTTAAGGCCCAGCCACCTGCTCCCATCCCTCATCCCAGTCTCAGCATTTCCACCCTCAGCTTATGAGTGGGGTGTTCTGCCCTGCCCGTCTCTCGGGGAAACATTTGCCTCTGTTTCAGTGCTCCCATCTCCCCTGCTGGCTTTTTGGCTCTTTAATAAGCAGACACAAACTCACTTTGATGTTGCCGTTGCAATACATACTCATTTTAGCCACTGCTCCTGTCTGGCCCGGCCTTAAATGCCCTTCTTATTTCTAGGCCTAGGACATTGTCTATTTCTTTTAACAATGTATTTAATGAAGAAAGGAGGGTCCAGAGATCTCAGGCAGGTGTATTTGAAGAAAGCCACTTTAGTGTATTCTGGAGGAATGTCCTAAACTAACAAATAAAACGATTAGATCCAAGGAGTTGTTTTCATTCTCCAGGCAGGAACCCATAGTGTCCCTAAGTAGGGTGAACGTGCAACAGAGAAGTCAGCTCCCCTTTGTATTGCTTTCTGAGCTTATGTGATTCTCCTTAGCTGACTACAGCCGAAGTGTTCTTGTGGCTACTGTGACTGGCGGGGGCAGCGGTGGGAGCAGGTGTTTCTCCTCGGGTTTCTTCTGCGTGTCTGCCGGATACAGTCCTGTGCTGTTCTTGCTGTACTCTGTCCTCCTTGATTTATGTGTGTGGGCGCTGAAGGGAAGCAGCAACTTGGAAAAAAAACTTTTGTTGTTTCAGGTTTTCCTGGGAGTGTTTGGCAGGGAGGGGTAAGAATGCAGAGTTAAAAGTTAATAAATACTGGTGAGGTCAGAGGAGGCCGAGAGCTGGAGGGAAAGGGAAAGGGATTCGGAATGTAACCTACTTGTTAACACCTGTCACAGGGTTCCCCCTCCAGCAAGCGGAGAAGCCCTTTGCTGCAGCCAATTATCGAGGGCGAAACTGCTTCCTTCTTCAAGGAGATAAAGGTGAAGACCCCAGCTGCTAACCCATTGCTAAATCCGCACCAGTTCCCTCCCTCCTCCCCTCCCCTCCGGTGAATGGAAAGGGGGTGTGATTGGGCCTTTTGGTGATGGCTTCTCCTAGCATTCCCTAAAAATCAGTAGCTGCATATAACCGACTTTCAACAGTTCCCTGTAAAGAGTGCTGATTTCTCCAGTCTCATTTAGCTGATCTCTTTGGTTTTATTTTATTTCCCGCTCTTTTTTGTTTGTATTATTTGCTGTCGTTCATTTTGTTTTTACTTTGCTTTCAGGGATTATTTTGTTTGGTTTTGTTGTCCACAATGCTTTTCGTTTGGTTTTGTTTTCTGTATTTGGGGAATGGATTTTCTGTATTCCAAAATCTTAAATTAGCTCATGAGACCAACTTTAAAAGGAATCTCATATACTGTTTATAGAAAAATCAAAATTAGCATAGGAAATAGATATAAACATATAAAACAATGCAGAATTGTACTTCTACAAATAGTAGTTTTTGACAGATTTGCGGGTGCAATATTTCCAGCTTTTCCTTCTTGACTGTCTCATAGCACATTTAGTCCCCAGGACTAATTTTAAAGTCTGCTCTTAATTTACAAATGAGGTGCTGTGAATGACTGATAGCTGCCAGAACATATGTCCTGATTTTTTTTTCCAGTAATACGGATTTTGTACAGATAATCCTTGTCATCAGTGACTACTTTTGCTAGAATGGGAGATGGAATCTGTGCCCATAGACCAGCGTGTCTCTGTGGGACCCTAACTGGCCCGTACTAGGATCAGCCTCTTTCATGTTTTTGTTTCTAGACAACTGAACAAACTGGACTGCCTTATACAGAACTCTAGAGATGAAAAATCAAGGGAAATCATTTTTTAAAAATCAGTGATTGTTTTTCTAACAGTCATTTAATTCCAAAGCAAGAGTTAAACCTGAAGCAGAAGTGAGTTTTAAGAGTTTCACTTGTCATATTTCTGTGACAGTTCCGAGCCTGGGGTGGTCATTTACATGCTATAGTTAGGAATGATTATTTCAGTATATGGGGGACGCTTGTCTACTGAGGGAAACCAGTTGAGAACTTCTCCATTTTCTTGTCTGAGGTAAGGCACCACAAGCTACAAAGTCTTCTTTTATGTATTCCTTTTGTTGCCTTTTGCAGATCTTAATACTTCATATGCCTAATTGTATGGTATTAGGCAATGACTGTGCTCACTGTATTAAGCAGAACTTGTTTCATGAAAATGCTCTAAACTTGGTACTTGAAATTTGGGCCAGTATACTATATTGTGTCTTTAAAAATTAGAGCTATTTTCTTACAATAAGCTTGATGTTAATGAAAGACAAATTTTGTCTGGCTGGTAGTGTCACCCAAGAATGAAACCACAGTAATTGGAGAAATTTGGGTAATTGTGTGTATGAAAATTAGCATGTTTCTCTTAGGAGCATGCAATAGAACCATTACTAGATAAAAATGTGTTCTTGAACACATCCAAAGTATAGACACTTAATAATGGTTTCACTAGATGAATTGAAGATAACCTAATGATGGATGCTCTTTTTTATATAAAAGACATTTTTCCCATTCTTATCCTTTAGCTTAATTTTTTTTCACAAGTATATTTTGGCTGTGGTTTATCTCCTGGCCCACATCATGGTCAAAATTTCAGATAATTTTGCAACGACTACCTTGCTTTTGTAAACAGTGCTGTCTTTTGGTTCATTTTGTTCCTGTTGGCCAGGCCTATTAGAATGTATTTTGACTGTACTAAATCTTGGCAATTCCAATTTAGAATTTGGTGTGTGTGCAGATAAGATTGTATCTAAGTGGTTTCTCCAAAACTCACCCCTGGTTTTAAATGCTTTTGGGAGCGAACCAGCTGTATATGAACTACAGCCAGGTCAAGTTCTGAAGGCCTAGATTTTCCAACCCAAGGTAACCTAGAGATCATGTAGTCAGTTCTCCTAGCCAACATAAGAATCCCCTCTAAAACTTCTCCGGCAGAATAAAGACATTGTCCCTACAGAGAGATTCCATCCTCAAGCTTGAAACGTTTACAGCAATGGGAGCAGTTAGGTCACTCACTACATGAGTATCAATAATAGCTAACAACTTGTATTATTGGTTTTATAATTATCTTTCTTAATTACATAATATGTATAGGTTCGATAAATACAAAATGTATAGGTTTGATAAATACAAAAAGTTAATGAAAATAGTTGAAATTAGAATATTCATAGTTATTATCCATTTATTGCATTCTATCCCATAGGCTTAGTTTTGCCCTTTGGAGCACCATGAAATACACACACTGCTTCTTCCCTGAGAGCACTGCCTGTATTTACAGTCACCTGCCCTGCCCACTGTCACTCCACACCCTATGACAATCTGTTATCCAAGTTCCTCTTACTCTTATGTGATATGGGTTCCAGACCTTTCAGTGGTCTCCTAGCTCTGCTGTGTGCACACACACTGGTTTATCAGTGTTACTGTTAAAACTGATACCCAGAACTGGATATTAATCTGGATATGATGTTAATCAGAACAGTGAACCAAAGACTAGTCTTTACCTTGATCTGGATGACTGAGACCTTTTCATGCCTCCAATTTCTTGCCTATGCAACTGTCAGGGTATTGGGACAGTTATTTATTTTGGCCTGTCTGAGGATAGGGTGTCAGCCTCAGCACTGCTGACGTTGGGGCCGGTAACCGTTGTGCAGCACTGCCCTGTGCTTTGTGGGTTGCTTACCAGAGTCCTTGGCCTCCACCCATTAGAGGCCAGTAGTGTGCCACCACCACCCCTTCACCAGTCATGAGAGCCAAAAATGTTTTCAGACATTGCCCGATGTCCCCGAGGGAACAGATTACCCCCATTGAGAACCACTGCTCATGGCCCTGGCATGGCTCACACTTTGCTGTATACTTCTGCATTGCCACTGATGTATCCAGCTTTTCTTTTTCCTAATTAGAGGGCCTTGAATTTTTCTAATTTGTTACATCTCATACTTCTATTTCAGCTGTAGGAAGTACACTAAATCTAGCTTTTGTATTCCAACATATCAGATATCCCTACCCGCTTTGTATTATCTGTACATTTTGAGAATATGCCTTTTCTTTGTCCAAGTAACTCAGATACTAAGGAAGGCAGGGTCAGGCACAGGGGCTGCTGTAGACTGCGCTTCAGGTTCACGTCACCCTTTAGTCATTACTCAGCAGAAATGTGGGCAGCCAGCTTTCCTTTCATAGTGTCTGCTTACCTGGTTGTTTATTGAAATCCAAATACTACATCTATCAAAAAAGGAAAAATGGTTCATTTTCGTGACTCATTTTTAAGGAACCAGTCTCATCAGTTGATCACTGATTATTTCCCAATTGCTTATATATTATCTATGTATTAATTCCTTCTAGAATCTATCCAGTCTCTACAACACTTACGATGATTGTCTTATTTGAAAATCTGTTTGCTATTTTTCCTCGTGATTGTCAAAGGCTACTAAGAGTAATTTTGTTACATTTATCTCAAAAAATATTGAGTGCTCACTATGTGCAAGGCAGACTTCCACATTTTTAAGTTCTCTCAGGACTTTGGGATATAATTGATAAGACCTAGACACCTGATTTCATTAAAGGCCGTTAAGTTCTTATTTGTAACTTCGTTAGCTGTCCCAGGTGTTTATGCTCTTCTAATAGTTTTTTGTAGTTCTCTTTTCAAACTGAATTACTAGACTGCTTAATAGCCATTTATTGGCCATATGCAAGCATTGGCCAAGCTCTGGGGACAGCAGTAAACAGGCCCCAATTCCTGCCTCCACTGAGTTATGGTCAGGTGCTTCTACCCTGTCTTCCTTATCCAGGGGAGGGGAAGGAAGAGAGGGAGCAGAAAACTGATGTGCACAGCCAGTGTCTCAGGTGTGCCTTATGAGGTACCTGACATACATTATCTCAATTTTTATCAAAACTATGTCGATGGGAATTGTTATGACTCTTAATAAAACAAAAAGAAGCGTGTTCATTTAAAAAGTCAATTTTACTTGGTAAGTTTTTAAATGTTTTTAACAATTTAAAGAGACTCAAGATCTGAAGTCACAGCTGAGACAATCTGGAAAAGCCACCTAGCTTTTGCCAATTTTATTTTCATAGCAATACTTTGATATCAGTTATATGATAGTCCTTTTTTGTTTTGCTTGGTTTGGTGGCTTGTTTATTCACAGTATTTCTCTTCAGAAACACCATTATTAAACATACCAAAATTCGCCATGAACCATTTGCACACTTGCACTTTGCCCTCCAGCAGGAACTGCTGCTGCCTCCGGAGATTTTTTTGCTGCACTGCCATTGAAGCCATTTGGTTTACCTGTAATAACTGATGCTGTGCATACCGTTTTTCATATAGCTGTATTCTGAACCAATTTTTAAATTTTTTTAGGATAGTAAGTTATTCTCTGTGGTCTGACTACCTTTTGGCAGTACATCACTTCTTTTGAAATCTTTCAGACTCTGATATTATCTCTTCCTTAGGCTTACATAGCCTTAAATTGGCTCTAAGAAATGCTGATCTGGCTTTATTATTTTTCTATTTGCATTATCAATACAGAGAATAGCATACTTTTCTTAGAAACTTGTATGCTGAAAAATAGATTTTTGGCCCTTGGAAGTTCTTTGGAAAAGCTTGAGTTTTCTTATTTTAATCACAAGAATATAATGTTTCAGTCTTCTTAAAATTTCCCTAAAATTCTGTGCATTAAGCAACCATAAAATATTTTCTAATCTCAATTCTTAAATAGAAAGGTTGTATTGTTTTATTTCAGAAAATGTTCAGACTGATTTTTTTTAAAAAGCCCTCTGAGATACACAAGTAGTAGAATCCTTTAAAACACTGGTTACTGGTGATGAATTTTGTTTTGTACTGTCACAGCTGGAAAATTTTGGATCCTTTTAGTTCATCTGATTTAGGTTATAAATTATGATGGTTGTTCCTTCTTACCCCATCCTGACAACTATTAACATGCTGTACACTCATTTGAAAATAGTTTTGCAGTCTGTTTTCTCTATTGAGTGGCTACATTGTTTGTGTTATTAAACGTGTATATTTATATTGAATACGGATATTCAATAATATATCTGTAATGTACATATGTATTGCTAAATGTAGATACAGAAGAAACTATGGTGTCTGGTAATTAAATGATTATTAAATGATACTCATAATGAAAGTGTGCCCCAAAAAGTGACCAGATTTTTATTGGGGTTGCTGTGTATCTCCAGGAAGAAGAGGAGGGGTCAGAAGACGATAGCAATGTGAAGCCAGACTTCATGGTCACTCTGAAACCCGATTTCAGTGCACGATGCTTTCTGGACCAATTCGAAGATGATGCTGATGGCTTTATTTCCCCAATGGATGATAAAATACCATCAAAATGCAGCCAGGACACAGGGCTTTCGAATCTCCATGCTGCCTCAATGTATGTCATTTCGGTGGTGGCGGTGAAATGTTTTGGTAAAAATAGCTCTCTTAAATATTATCTTAGCCTTTGTATCTAAATAAATTAGCTGATACAATACATGTGACTACCTGGGGTGTATCTGGATAAAACTGATTTTTTTTTAATTCTTTTTTTATATGCTTCAGCCCATATTATTTGAGGGAACTTTTGAGTCTTGTTTACACAACAAGAAGTTCTCTCTCTAAATGGCACTGTGTGGTTCTGTACATCACAGCCCATCATTTAACACATGCTGAGCACAGACGTCATCTTCTTTCAAAGAAAAATACGACAAAGTGCCGTGGGATTTCACGAGGCCTAAGAATTCCCAAGTAGCAGGAACCCCCAGAAGCTGGATCTGTTGCCAGCATGTTTGGCTTTCAGGAAATGGAAAACATCCATTTCCGCTCTCCCTCAATGCCCTCAGCAGTTTCTGGATTTATTTGCCTCCCCTTTCTGCACAGCTCCTGTTGAGTTACACATTCATTACATTTATGACAACTCAAATTTAACTTAATTTCCTTGCAATGCTTCCTCTCTCTTAGACCTGAACTCCTGGAACACCTCCAGGAAATGAGAGAAGAAAAGAAAAGGATTCGAAAGAAACTTCGGGATTTTGAAGACAACTTTTTCAGACAGAACGGAAGGTAGTGCCTGTCTTCCCCGCCCTCCCTTCCCCACCCCGCTGCACCACACACACCCATCCCTTTTGTTTTTCTGTCAGATCTGTGGAATGCCTTCAAACGGGGGACTCTTCTGCATCCTCCCTGTAACCTGGTCCTTGGGTTTGTGCCCAGGGACCCTCAGAGGTTGACTGTGAGATGATGGGATTTGTGTGGACCTCCCAGAAGAAATGCTCTTTGGGTAATGCCCAAGAGTGATGCAGATTCAGCTGACATTTATGAAACGAACCTGTGCCATCAAATTCTTATCTACAATGAGCAGCAGGAAACTGCGTTTCCAGCTGGTGGTGGCACCAGTGCTTTTTTCTTAAGAAGCTAGAGGTTAGCCAAGTGGCCATAGTGGCACACCTGTAGCTCTAGCTACTTGGGAGGCTAAGGCAGGAGGATTCCTTGAACCCAAGGAGTCTGAGGCTGCAGGGAGCTATGGTCCACCACGGCACTCTATTCTGGGCAGTAGAGTGAGACCTTATCTCTAAATAAAACGAGCTAGAGAAACACGGGAAAGAGGGATCTAAGTATTACTGATTTTCAAGCTCATTTCAAAAATGAAGGTGATAATTGCCAAGTTTAAATGAAAAATATGTATGAAAAGCAGTAAGTCGGCCAGGTGCAGTGGCTCACGCCTATAATCCTAGCACTTTGGGAGGCCAAGATGGGTGGATGACATGAGGTCTGCCTGGCCAACATAGTGAAACCCTGTCTCTACTAAAAATACAAAAAATTAGCCGGGTGCAGTGGCACAGGTCTGTAATACCAACTTCTCTGGAGACTGAGGCAGGAGAATTGCTTGAACCCGGGAGGCCAAGGTTGCGGTAAGCCGAGATCACACCACTGCACTACAGCCTGGGCTACAGAGCGAGACTTCATATCCAAAAAAAAGAAAAGCAGTAAATCTACCTGGTTGATGGGCTGGCTCTCGCCAGTGAATTTTAAGGCATAATTTAGTCTTTCATGTTTACAAGTAACAGCACACAAAACATCTTACTGAAAGTCACAGTAGGAACCCGAGGAAAGAACCAGGAACAGATTTGCATCTCTTACATTGGTGTTAGGTTTTATCGTTTTAAATTGGTTTTAACCCAGATTACTGAAGCTATGTAAGTATTGTTTCTCTTGAGTCCTCTTTTATACTTCTTGAAAGTTTGGGGAAATAAAAGCACCATAAAAATTTTTGTCATTTAAAATACATTGTATTTCAGTTTAGTTTAAACAATTATTGTGTAAATTTACTTTTAGGATCTCTGATTTAGATATGTCTCATATTTTTATGCCTAAACATTTGCTTTTCATTTCCCACCCATTGCAGAGTATTTAGAAAATATAGGTAAGCAAATTTAAGTAGTAATTCCCAAAATAATAATAACCAAAGACAAATCAGAATTAATGTTTTGATGTGTATCTTTCCAATCTTTCATCTAAGCCTATTTTTTCGTTTATCCTTTTTTATATTCTAAGTCACATTATGCACAGATATCTTATACACGAGGAAACATGTAGAATTATGCAACGCCCAGGTTTTAAGAAAATGTCAATGGAGGACATTAACTTAATTGTCAAAAATGTTTAGAACTATGAGGGACTTGGAGATAAACTCTGGTTCCATGACTTCATGTCTGAGGAGAGTGAAGCCCCTCAGAGTACAGTGCAGGCCTGCGTTCCAGATGCTCCAATTCCTGAGCACCTGTTCCTTGCCTGCCCCCTGAGAAACCACTAGATAGAATCCTTTCCTAGAACAAGGCAGGGTATGAATAAGATTGGTTTATTTTTAATTCATTGAACAATTTAAGCCCCATGCTATCCTCCTTACCCACATTTGCCCTTTAATAATAAAGGCAGGGAGCCTACGTTTGAATGTCTGCCATGTGCAATTTCCCATAAAACGCAAAGCAGCAGCGCACACCGCATAGTGGCCAAGAGCAGGCAAGTTATCTGATTTTCCGTGCTGGTTTCAACATGTGTAGTATAGAAATGGCTCCGTCTCATCAAGGTGTTATAAGGGTTATATTAGATCATGGGTACAAAGTACTTATCACAGGGCTTGACCTATAAGCTCTCGAATACTTGTGCATATAAATAGGATGTATGGAAAGTTACTCAAATATAATATAATATAAAGGCTTATTATAGTAGTATTATGGAATCCAGCTGCTGAATTCTAAGACTGTTTTATGATAAGCAGGAGTACTATCTGTTTTTGAAAAAAAAAAAAAAAAACTAAGTTGTGGATGGACTAGTTGCTAATTAAAAATTTAAAAGTTCACGAGATGAAATATATAAGAATGAGAAAACATTAATTATGAATAAAGGATTTTGGTGTATGAGAGCTCAATGTGAATTCATACTTAGAGAGAATGTCTGCATTTCTTAGCCTTCTTGTCATACAAGATGCCAGATTAATTATATAAAAACTCAGTTGCATGATGCCTTCTGGGTGAAACATTTTCATTATTTGTCTAAATCCAGCTCCAGTCTTAAGACCAAGGGCCACTTGGCAACACTGATTGTACAAGTTGATAAACTGCAATGTTTCTACACACAATGATAATTTGCCCGATGAATAGTATCTAACAAAGACAGGAAATGATCCTCAGACCCTTTTTTCCTTTATTTGCATTAGAAATGTCCAGAAGGAAGACCGCACTCCTATGGCTGAAGAATACAGTGAATACAAGCACATAAAGGCAAAACTGAGGCTCCTGGAGGTGCTCATCAGCAAGAGAGACACGGATTCCAAGTCCATGTGAGGGGCGACCCCCGCCCGAGCACAGGGGGCTGGCAGCTGCAGTGAGAGTTTACTCTCCCCTGAGAAAGAGCAGCTCTGGAAGGCAGCCTTGGAGCTGGCCCTGCAAAGCATGCGGCCCTTCTGCCTCTAGACCATTTGGCATCGGCTCCTGTTTCCATTGCCTGCCTTAGAAACTGGCTGGAAGAAGACAATGTGACCTGACTTAGGCATTTTGTAATTGGAAAGTCAAGATTGCAGTGTGTGCACATGCGCCTGCGCACAGACACACACACATACACACACACAGTAGTGGAGCTTTCCTAACACTAGCAGAGATGAATCACTACATTAGACAACACTCATCTACAGAGAATATACACTGGTCTTCCCCGGATAACTGAGAAACATGAGACCATTCTCTGTCTAACTGTGATAAAAACAAGCTCAGGACTTTATTCTATAGAGCAAACTTGCTGTGGAGGGCCGTGCTCTCCTTGGACCCAGTTAAGTGCAAACGTGCATTGGAGCCCTATTTGCTGCCGCTGCCATTCTGGTGACCTTTCCACAGAGCTGCGCCTTCCTCACGTGTGTGAAAGGGTTTCCCCTTCAGCCCTCAGGTAGATGGAAGGTGCATCTGCCCACAATGGCAGTACAGTCATCATCTTCAGGGTGTTTCTTCAGGACTTCCTCAGCTGACAAGGAATTTTGGTCCCTGCCTAGGACCGGGTCATCTGCAGAGGACAGAGAGATGGTAAGCAGCTGTATGAAGGCTGATTTTAAAACCAGCTGATGGGAGAAGAGCCTGGAGATTCTTTCCTGAACACTGACTGCACTTACCAGTCTCAGATTTTATCATCAAATACCAAGCCAGGCCAGCATGCTTATGGCAACCTGTTTGGGGCTGTTTTGTTGTGGCACTAGCCAAACATAAAGGGGCTTGCTTAAGTCCTAGCCTGCATACAGAGGATCAGGGGAGAGAAGGGGCCTGTGTTCCCAGCCTCCTGAGTACTTACCAGAGTTTAATTTTTCAAAAAATATCTGCACTAAAATACCCAAACTGACGGGTAAATGTAGCCCTCAGAGCTCAGCCCAAGGCAGAATCTAAATGACACTATTTTCGAGATCGTGTATAAAAAGAAAAAAATGTCATTCTGTCTGGCCAATTATAATTTTTTTCAAAGACTGTCACAAAGCTGTCTATATTAGACATTTTGGAGGGACCAGGAAATGTAAGACACCAAATCATCCATCTCTTCAGTGTGCTTGATGTCACCTTGTGATGTGTTGTTACTTTAACTCCTGCGCTGAGGACAGTGGGTTCTGGGTCCACCTTTGTGCTCTGCGAGGCCGAGCCCAGGCGTCTGCCCGCCCGCCATGGCTGACCAGAGAAGGTGCTTCAGGAGCTCTGCCTTGGACGACAAGTGTTACAGGATGAACACACAGCAGAGCCACCCTCCTGTATGTTTTGAAAGTTGCCTTCTTAAAGGGCGCAGTTTTAAGGAAAAGAAAAAGAATGTAAAACTATACTGACCAGTTTTCAGTTTTAAAGGGTCGTGAGAAACTGGCTGGTCTAATGGGATTGACAGCAACATTTTCCATTGCTGAAGTGAGGTAGCAGCTCTCCTCTGTCAGCTGCATGTTAAGTCAAGGATGGGGAAAAAGAATGCCTTTAAGTTTGCTCTTAATCGTATGGAAGCTTGAGCTATGTGTTGGAAGTGCCCTGGTTTTAATCCACACTCAAAGACGGTACATAATCCTACAGGTTTAAATGTACATAAAAATATAGTTTGGAATTCTTTGTTCTACTGTTTACATTGCAGATTGCTATAATTTCAAGGAGTGAGATTATAAATAAAATGATGCACTTTAGGATGTTTCCTATTTTTGAAATCTGAACATGAATCATTCACATGACCAAAAATTGTGTTTTTTTAAAAAATACATGTCTAGTCTGTCCTTTAAGTAACAGCTCTCTTAAATAAGCTATGATAGTAATCAGATCATTACCAGTTAGCTTTTAAAGCACATTTGTTTAAGACTATGTTTTTGGAAAATATGCTACAGAATTTTTTTTTAATGCTACAAATAAATGAGATGATGCTACTAATTGTTTTTGGAATCTGTTGTTTCTGCCAAAGGTAAATTAACAAAAGATTTATTCAGGAATCCCCATTTGAATTTGTATGATTCAATAAAAGAAAACACCAAGTTATATAAAATAAATTGTGTATGGGATGTTGTGTTTTCCTTGGTAATTTCCACTAACTTATATCTTCATGGAATGGAGCCCAGATGAAATGAGGGGAAGCCCTTCTCACAGTAGATCTTATTTGAAGACATGTTAGTCAGTGGTTTCTGGCTCTGCCAAGGGAGATACGTTCCCCAGCAACCATTTCAGCAGCCCGGAATCTCAAGGCACTAGAAGCGGTGTCTTAATTGGCTTCATACAGACAGAATGCTCTGGACTGGGGTTTTTCCTTTGCTGTCTTAGAAATGTGTGTTTATTAGCACATACCAACAAAATAAACGTCAAGAGTTATTTCGTAAGTCTAAACTTAAGAATTAAAGATGGCAGACTTATAATTTTCATAAGCACTTTTGTTCAGTCTGGAGTAAACATTGAAATAGATGTTTATATTAAGTATGATATCATTACGTTTCATCTTTGAATCCTTTAGTTCAGATTTCACGTTCTAAGACTTGTAGGTGCAAGATTTTGGATAAGGGCTAGCTTAGAAGTTTTTCAAGATGGTAGAAGTTTGTCCTGTGCTGCTTTTAAAAAAAAAAAAGCTAGTACAATTTGGTGACCTCCAGATGAGGGAAAATTTCCGTGAAAGACCAAATCAAATTTCAAACTGGAATACTAATTATTTTTTTAATTACCAGCTAGGATGTTGTCAGCTCTTAAGATTTCTTCCATTTGCCTACCAGTTCAAAGAAGTCAAAAGATTATTATTCATTGCAGGGATCAGTGATGTCTCCGTAACAGTGTTATTTTTGCTTTGTCTCATCCTAATTCATTGTTTGGGTGGCAAGGGAATAGCCTCTTGCAGGGTGTGCCTGCTCCCAGGTGTGACATTTCCAGCCAAGGACAAATGCCTCAAAGCTGTGCGGTGTCATAAATGTCACACTAAGGTGTCCCAAGACCAGCAGTCTTGGAACCCCGAGGGCTGAGCATTTGTAAATGTGGTTGAGCTTAGAATTCCTTATAAGGTGAATATTTAGGTTTACTATCAGCATAAAGGGATGGCCATGGTGCTAATTAAGCTAGTTCTGCCCAGGGGTTGCCTAGTTCTCAAGAGACAGAATTGGGCCCTGTGTCCAGAACGGATCACAGAGTTAAGGAAAATCAAAATTTTAAGTTTGGATCATTTTTGGTTTTAGAGCTTTTTAATCTGATGAAGATGCCATTTTCTTAAGAGTAACACCTTATGCTTTTGGTGGTATATTTATAGCTGAACACCATAAACTGTTGACAGCTTTGTGAAAGCTGGCTGTAGTCTAAATTCTGTTCTGCTCTCAAGAGGGGTCTTCCTGCCACACTGCTTCCTCGTTTGTTTTCCCCTAGTGGGGAGAGGTGGTTTCTGCACCAAGATCAATGCCTCTGTGATGCTCTTTTTTAGTATCCACTTAGTTAAATCAATGAGGAGGGACACACTACACTACAGTCTTGAAGCAGTGTTTCCTCTGAAGCTCTTGTGTTTGACAGAACTCGGTAAGTGCTTTCCTTTCCTTCATTCATTTCCTTTTATTGTTTTTTTTCCACTTGACACTTAAAATGTACTGAAGAGTAGACTGGCTAAACATATTTTCAAATTTTTATATATTCAAATTGTGCACACTGGCTCTACTTTTAAGTGGTGACCAACACAGCACACACCAAATCAGAGTCACGTATAAATGCACTGCACAGTGGCACTGGCCACTTTCCCAAGCAGAGATCATGTGTGTGCCTCAAAACACAGGTTTGGCAAGTCCTCCAACTGAAAACACCCATACAGTCATGAAAATCTCCACAAATAGTTTTTGTAAAAAATACGGGCTCCTAACTATTTACATGACATGTAAGCAGAAGGCATTTGAAATTACCACTTTCCTTTTTAAAAATGTAAAATGCACAAAAAATATTTTATACATGACTATTTTGTATAAATGTAAAATATTTTAAACTGTGAAAGTTCTAGAATTTTTGACAGTGTCATCAGGATCAGGGTCTGACCTTTCCCCTCTTTAAGGAATCCTGTGACTCCCTGGAGCCCCTCAGAAGCCTCCTGGGGATTAAGTTTTTGTTCTATCTCCAGGCAGGGCACTGGAAGGTGATGCAAGCTGGGTGTACACTTTAGGCATGTCCATTTTGTAGCTAGAAAAGTGGGCTTGTGCTCTATGCCCAGTTGCCTTTGAAATAATTCATAGAAAGCGTTGGAGGAGTGCAGTAATGAAGGCATTAAAGCAAATTTTTGAAAATTAAGTACGTTTCCAAAGCCAATGAGGCCATCATGAATAAATACATTAGCCATTTACTATTCTGAAACTAATAAGGCCACCAGAGAACTGAGAGACTTGGAGAAAGACACGTTTCAGTTGTGTGGAGGGAGCACCTCATCCTTTGCACTGCCTGTTCCTGTCTGTGGCCAAGTGTGCCCTTGCTCAGACCTCGAACAGCCTGAAGAGTTGGGCAGCAGGAGCTCCACGTCCCACCTGACAGCTGGGTACACAAAGCTGCCATGGTGGGTACGCATGCAGTGTCCTTTATGTGCTGCTAGACATCCTCTAAGTGACAGAAAGTAAGCATTAAAAATATGCTAAGCCTGAAATTAAAAAATAAAAAAGGCTTGGAATAAGGGCCTAGTGCTAAAACAAGGATTCAAACTCAGATCTGTCTGGCTTCAGAGTGCAAAGATGCAACACTGCTAACACAGATGCAAGTTGATGCTGTCCTGCCAAAACTGAAGCTCACCCTGAATAATTCTGGTAACTATGGGCTCAAGTAATAAAATTTGGGCAGAAACGACAAGCTGTATTTAGTGACTCTCATTTTCTTCAATATTCTGATGTTGCCTCTTTTGAGGGACCAGAAAGTTATACAAGCACAAGTACACCAGGTTCCACAGCCTAGTACAAAGCCTGATGTCCTCTGAATCCCCCCAACGATGTTTTCACTTCTAGTCCTATCATAGCTTGCAGAACTGTGAAGTACCTGAATGGAAATTTCAGAATGGAGACCCACACGGGGTGGGGGCGGGCTGAGGAGAAGCAGGCCCTCCCAATGGCCTATTACCTCTTCTAGCTATGGATTCTGAATCCTGTAAGACAAAGTATATCACAGTCATCCCTGACGGGGTCAGCTCACCAAGGCTGTATATACACAGATTTGCACATTCAGTGAAAGTCAGAATTCCCAATTGCAGTTTTAGAATCCTGGCAGGCACACAGACAAATGGGGCTTGGCAGGCCTGGGATTGTTGACAGCTTGGTCCTCACCCTTCCCCTCCAACAACAAGGCTTAGACAGCAAGGGGGACTCCGTGTTGTGCTGCAGCTGCCTGGGGGACACGGCCCAGTGCACACCTCAGCAAGAACTCAGTTCTGACAGCAAGAAGATCCCCATGTTACTATGAATTCTGAAATTGTAATCTTTTAGATGTCTGGATTCTTCTTTCTGTAAAGCAATTCAAAGATGTGCAGAAACCTTCATGTCAAGCTTCTGATCCTACAGCTTTGAGTGTTTCTTGGTAAGCCATTTTGAGACACTATGATTTTCTGTAACTTTTAAATAATTTAAAATTACTGGACAAGATGAGACGAAGGGGAGGGATACATTCCTCCGTAGTAGCAGAAAGCAGTGCGGCTCAAACTTGGATGCACGTGCGCCTGCCTGGGGATCTGGTGCTGTAGCTCCAGGGAGTGCCTGATGTTCCGCTGACAAGCTGCCGGGTGCTGCCGGGCTGCTCGTCCAAGGACCTCACTTTAAATAGAGGCTGCAGACTGCATCCTGGGTTTTTATGGAAATGAGCAGCTCCACCAATTAATCCAAAACCCTGAGTTAACAGAGACCAGCACATTTGACAACACCCACAGAGGCCAAATGCTGCCTCGACGCTCGAGATGCAGACAGATGGCTCAGCTGTATGATTTGCGTTACTTACCTTCCAGAAATGTTACTTTTTCTGAAAAGCGGTACCCATCTTATCAGGTGATTATGGAAATTTACTTGGATGACTGTAAAGTGACCACACAGTAAATCCTTAATAGATGATGGTGGGTGGGGTGGTTACTATCATCAGCCTCAAGGCAAACATTCTTCCTATCTTGAAGTCCAGCGACACATTCTGAATCCCTGCAAAAAACGAAGTGTATTTCACCGTATCATTTCCCCCACCAACACCCTCTGATCCTTGTTGGTGTGAATCAGAAAGAGAATACAAGTTATTGCTAACAGGATGAGTAAGATTCTATGGGAACATCATCCCATTCCCTTGGGGGAATACGATAAATTGTGACTATTACTATTTTCCAGCACATCACATCAAAACTTGTGCCACCTTCTTAGAAAAATTAATGCTTGCTAAATTCCTTCTCTCACAGAGCAGGGAAAACCCCTCTAAGTCTACTTCTCCCCAAAATGTTTTGGGAGGTCCAGATCTGCTCCAACGTGTAAAACGAATAAACCATTGACATGGCAGCTGAGACCAACACGGAAATGCCTGAGATGTGTGGAGTGAAGGAACAGAGTAACCTTTGGATGGATTTCAAAGTCACTTAAGTGTCCTGAAATTTCTGTCTCAGGGTGTATTTTTAACAACTGAAAACTGAACGTGCCCTTGGGAGGGGAGTTACTCTGATTTTGGCACGCTCCTAACCAACATACTAAATTTCATCGAAACCTGTGGCCAAGGCTGACACTAAGAGACCTGGGGTCCTCCACTCCCTCATCAACCCGTACAGGAGACAACCTGAAGGTGCCATTGCCGAGGCCAGCAATAGAGCGAGCTTTCCCATTCAGGTGACTTTGCAGTCTCACTGAATGAGGCTTTGCGTCCCTCCTCTCAGACACTTAGAACTTCTAGGTCTTCTCTCCAATCTGCCAGTGACTTGAACTTGAGAGTCCTTGAACCTGGTTCACAAACATCTGAGTCCCAGAGAATGTCCAGGCATGAAAGGCCAAAAGACCCATTTTTTAACCAAAACAAGAAGCTTGGGCTGTGGCAGGCCAGCTCTGCTGGGACCACAAGCCAGTACCTAGTTGGCACCTGCTGCCAACCTTCGTCCTCAAGAGCACCAGCCTCTTATGACCCAGTGGGGAATGGGGTTACAGTGTTTCAGAATCTGCTCTTGCTTTCTGATCCTCCTAATCCTAAAGAAAAGGTAACCACAAAAGACTAATCTGGTTTAGTGTTTGGCTCCATCTGAGGGGTGTGTGGGTGTGTATTTTAATTCTTGTTTAAGTTTCTCAGTAAGTTCAACACCAGCAGGAGCTGAATCAGTAATTATCATAGACTGTCTCCAACTCTCATGGGATTAGGCCCAGGAAAATCAGCTTTTAGAAGATCTGAAGACCATGTGATTGTGTGCCCTGCCAAGTATCCAGCCACACTAGGGGGAAAAAAAAAAAAAAAAAAAGATGACATCTGGATTAATTTTCTTGGTGCTACAAATAGCTAAGGAGTACACACTCCATTATTCTGGGAGGAAATAAAGCACCAAAGCCTGGACTAGCTAATCCATGGGAGAGGCTGTTATTAATACAGATCCAAAGAGTCTGTCCACACTGTAGTGGACACCTCTTCCAGCACCTATTCTGTTGCATATCCTAGGTATCTCACTGCACAAGTAAAGGGCACTACAGATGTTAATACAAAGCCACGCCTGAGCAGTGTGGACAAGCAGCCCTGCCTGCATCTGAGGCAGTCTATGTTAGCATCCCTAAGCAGAGAACTGTAGTCAGAGAGCAACATTTGCCACCTGCTCCACGGGGCTCTGCTCTCATGGGATTCATTCATCACTCATTACCAAAAACTTGGATTGGAAAGGCACTGTGATAGGTTCTGTGTCACTTCCTACTGGAGAACTCCCTTTGTCCAAAATCAGTAGGATAATGTTCACTGTTTCTGAAGAACACAAGGACCTGCTCTCTTTGTCCTCTTCCTTATCACAAACTTCTGTTCTGCTTTGTGAGATCCTGTTCCCCAACAGAAGTCTGTAAGTGGAGCCCAGGCATGGTTCCTATCAATACTGCACAAAGGCACCTCAAAAATGGAGACATTCACAGAGCAGAGTACTCATAACTCATGGAACCTCTGCTACTAACGAAGTTAAGTTAAAGGCAATGTAGCATCACATTCTTAGGCACTTTTTGCTTGGTTACATTTTAAGAGTCAAAGATGGCAAGACAACCAACACATACATTTCTCATTAAAAGAATATAATGAAATTCTGAAAAGTAGCTTTGATTTTAATGAAAGTATTTGTTTTTCCTCCGATACTTGACCCTAACATGAAGTATTCTATTCATTGGGTTGCACTGCAAATATATTTTGCTATTCCAGTGTATGCCCTCCCTTCAATTTAATCTCTATCATCTGATTAACTACTATTTGGACATTAATTCCAAACTATGATTCTGGGAGAAATGAACAGATACTAAGCAAAAGAAAAAGAAAAAAGAAAAAAAAAGTCCAAAGGACAGGGGATTCCGTGGAAAACTAAATTTGAGAGGAGGAGGAGGAGGAAACGAAGGACAAGAAGAAGGGGAAGAATGAAAAGGAGGAAGAGAAAGGGGAAAAGAGAGAGAGAAGGAGGAGGAGAAGAAGGAGAAGGGAAGGAGAAGGAAGAGGAGAAGGAGAAAAGGACAAAGAGAAGGAGGAAGAGACAGGAGAAAAAGGAAAAGGAAGAGGAGAAGGAGGAGGAGGAGAAGGAAGAAAAAAGAACTAGTACTCATTGTGCAATAAAGTTTAACTTTCTTTAAATTAGAGACAGCCAAACTTATATAATACAAATGTCCTTTTTCTTCCTTATTCAAAGTATTTTTCCCACAGGAAGCTCTGCTTTTTGCCAACTATTGAGGCCTCAATGTCTACTTATTCCTACTACTGAGAACACAGAGCCGCTTGCCGAAGAAGGGCCCAGTTGTGTGCTCATGGTCTCCCAGGGCCCATGGAGTGGCCTGATGACTTACCTGCCTGCCTGAAGAGGCCCTTCACTTTACCCTATGTCCCAAGATTGGACAGTATGACTGCCTGGGGAGGTGGAGGGGCACAGATGATTTGCACTCTCATATCTAGCCAGAGGCAAAGCCTGGAATCCCAATATTTACTAAAAGCCTGTTGAAATACATGCACTGTGGGATCCTCGATCAGACCTTAGAACAGACATCAGTGAGAAAACTGATAAAATCCAAAAAAAAAAGTGTGAAGTTTCTTGAATAGTAATTTCCCAATATTGGTTCCTTGGTGTTGATAACTATACCATGGTGCTATGTTAACATTTGGGGACACTGAGTGAAAAATCAAAGAACTCTATTATTTCTGCTACTTTTCTATAGATCTAAAATTATTCAAAAATAGAGTTTCAGAGTGATATTAGCAAGATGGTGGAATAGACAATCCCCCAGCATCACGCCCCTGACAAAAATACAATTAGAAACCATTCAATGACAAGAATACCACCATGAATATACCAGAACTCAGGGGAGACGCAGAGAAACCACCTAGGCACACAGAATTGAGAGAAGCCGTGACAGGTAGGATGAACAGTCACTTTACACATTTTACATTTTATACCTCTTCCCCTAAGCTGGCACAGTGCCACTCACAGAGATTTTCCCTAGACCCATGGTTGCTGGTGAAGGAGGGAACTGGAGGTGAATATTTGATCTCCCCACTGGTCTAGGAATCTTCATGGGAAGTCTATTCTGGTCCTATTCGATCAGAACCATTGGGAGTGTCAGGAAAGCTTAACTACTTGGGGTGAGTTGGAAACAATGACCAGGGTGTTCATCACAGAAAGCTGATCTCAGCACTCTGATCAGTAGGGATACCAAGTTAAACAGACTGGCCAGGACCATAGTGCCTCAGGGACACAATCCAGAAGAAGGCCCAAATCCCCAGCTGGGTTTTCCACAAATCTCAGGTGCATGAGTGGAGTCTTCCTCTAGCTCAGAAACAACTAAAAGGTCGAGATTAAGTTCCAGTGCCCTTTTAAGTCTTCCCCAGACTGGAAAACAATGGCAGGGCAGCAGTGTTGTTTCAGGGCAGCATTTAAACTCCGGTATTTGCTATAAGTCTTCCCCAGACAAGGAAACAATGGCAGGGCAGCAATTTAGTTCTAGAACATCATTTAATTTTTGATATTCACTGTGCCTTCACGAGACTGGAAATGACAACAGGGCAACAAGTCCGTTCCAGTACACTCGTTTAGTTCCGGTGCTCAATATAAGTCCTCCCCAGGATGAGAGTGAAATTTGAAAAACAATCCAGAAACAAAAGGAGACAATGACAAAGAAATAGAAAAAAATTAAAAGAAATCGAAGAGAAATCCTAAAACTTAAGAATACAATAACTGAACTGAAAAACTCCTGAGAAAGCTTTAACGGCAGACTTGATTAAACAGGAAATAATTAGTAAGCTTCAAGCCAGAACATATGAAATTATCCAGTCAGAGTAGTAAACAGAAAAGAGAATGAAAATAGTGAAGAAGGCCTACAAAAATTATGCTACACCATCAAGTGTACTAACCTCCATGTAATTGGAATTCCCAAAGCAGACAAGGAAAAAAAAGGCCTAGAAAGTATATTTAAAGAACAAATGGCTGAAAATTTCCCAAATTTAGAAAGATGAACAGCATCCAGGTACAGGAGCTGAGAAGTCACCAATCAAATTCAAATGAAAGAGGAATTATCCCCCAAGGAGCATCATAATCAAATTAGCAGAAATCAAAGACAAAGAGAGAAAAACTCTAATCAGCAAGACAAAAGAAAAATATCACATCCAATACAGCTTTCAGCAGACTTCTCAGTGGAAACCCTACAGGCCAAGAAAGGGTGTGATGTTATATTCAAAGTGCTGAAGAAAATGTCAACCAAGAATACCCTACCCAGCAAAGCTATCCTTAAAATACAAAGGAGAAGAAACACAAACATACAAACAAAAGCTGAGGGAATTAATCAACACCATACCTGTTTTATAAGAAATGCTAAACAGAGTTCTGCAATCTGAATATAATGGATGCCAACATGTAATAGGAAAACATCTAGCTGGGCATGGTGGCTCATGCCTGTAATCCCAGCACTTTGGGAGGCTGAGGTGGGTGGATCATTTGAGGCCAAGAGTTTAAGACCAG